TAAACTACGAATTTGGATCGAATTTACAAACACTAATTTAAACGTACAAATATTTTAAATACACATTTTCCAAAATAACAAAATAATTGTTAATTATTAACTTTTCATCATAAAATATTTCTGGGGTTTGCAATCATAGATCAAAATCTAATATAAATTAATCTAGACACTTAAAATCAATCAATGATGTTAGTACAAAGCCACAATTGGTCTTATTTCTATTGTTTTATATATTTAATGCTTAAATTAAATTAAAAAAAAAACGAAAATTTTATGTAAATATAAAATAAATTAATAATTAGTTAACATCTAGACTGGTTACACGTACAAGTTGCTAGTCTAGTCTCAAATACAAAGTTACAGTCTCTCGATTTCATTGAACATTGTTTTAACTTTTTCATTGTATCAAATAAGAAAACCTATTTATAAGTTGATGTTAATGTTGGAGAAACCAGAAATAACCCCCAATGGTATACACTTGACACGTTGATTCATGCCTTAGCTTTTCAATTCTTCCAGTATATACAAATATGTATATGAACTACTCTTGCTTTTCCTAGAAAGTTTTAAACCGCTTTGAAAACTCCTCTTGTTTGGCTTAGCTTCACTCTTCCATACTCTGCATCTTCAAGGATATTTTGCTTAAGTAGTCCACCTGAAACTCGAAATGAACATACAACATCAACAAAGAAACAAAGGGGGTGATATCAAGGATGTAACACATTGAGCTTAATAAAAAATTAGTGAAACCTGATTTCTCGCAGTGTTAAAGATTAACTCCTCGAAGCTGACAGCAATTCTCATGAGCTCTTCAATTCCTTCTTTCCCAGAATATGGAACATGTTTCTTCAGTGTTTCCAATCTGCTCAAATGACAAAAGTAACTTCTCATTCTATATGCATTTTCACTGGGTTCAAAAGAATACAACAAAACGCTGTAGAACATTCTATTAATAAAGAATTTTTTATTATTAAACTGGCTTTGGTGGGAGGAAAAGAGTAGCAAGAGTTCTCATTCTATATGCATTTTCACTGGGTTCAAAACAATACAACAAAACGCTGTAGAACATTCTATTAATAAAGAATTTTTTATTATTAAACTGGCTTTGGTGGGAGGAAAAGAGTAGCAAGAGTAACTTCTCATTCTATATGCATTTTCACTGGGTTCAAAACAATACAACAAAACGCTGTAGAACATTCTATTAATAAAGAATTTTTTATTATTAAACTGGCTTTGGTGGGAGGAAAAGAGTAGCAAGAGTGAACAAACTCACAACTTGTTGACATGCTTCTGTCGTGTATCTGGTGGATGTTGAGTTCTCCAGTCAACTGTGTTGATGGCAGGATTACCTATGTGAACAAAGCATTAATTAAAATTTAGCAACCAAAACAAAGGACTTCAATCTCGGAGAAAGAAAGTCATCTACCTAGATCCAAGGGTAGGCTGTTGCTGCCAGCAAGGAGAGATATCTTTGCGGATATTTGGCGAATGTAATCGATCTGGATGTTAAATATAAAATGACAAAAATGAAGAAGATATACATTGATTTCAAACCTCCTAACCTGGTGCTTAATATATAACAGCAAAGCATGCTTTTTTTTTTTTTGGAAAAGCATGTTTATAAGTGAAGTTCATTGCCTTAGAGATCTCTGTATATTTATCACACTAACGTAACAGACACTAGTGTTGTAAAGACAGTGAATCACCTGGTGATCAGCACTGTTGAAAATATTTGCCTCCAATCTGGCAGCAAATCCCCATAGCTCGTTGGTTCTCTTTGCCCCGGAATGGTGCTTCTCTAGTGTGTCCGTTCTACACAAATGATAAGTAAATGAGTAAAAAAAAATATAGTTATTGGTGAAAGGAGATATGTACAACACCATAATAAAAACATTATTTTTCTAAAGGAATTAACAACATCAAACTGGTTTGAAGGAAGGAAAATGATACTAGGTGAGAAAGATGAAAACTCTTTTGAAGAGACAAAACAAACTTACATGTTGTTCACAATCATCCGACGAGCAGCAGGTGGCAATTGAGTTCTCCAGTCACCTGTGTCCACGGCAGGTTCTCTGTTCGGAAGAGAAGGAGGCCTCAGACTGTTATTGTCCATTAGGCTTCCTACATCGACATTAGCTTTACCGGCTATAGCAATGACAATACAGTTACTCAAACTTAAATTTTAGAAACAATTTATCTTCTTCTTTTTAGAACAGTTCCTTTTTGGTTTAACAACAAGTCACAGCGACAAAACAATCTTCTAATGCAAGATGAAGAAGCATAAAGAGGTTTGATTGTTAATACCCGAATTCAAGGGTGTGGTGGGATCAGCTGCCTTTTTAACCGTGTTTTCTATCGTCAGCACCTCTAAGGATATTTTCCGAAGGTAATCATTCTGAGACTCAAAATAAATAAAGAAAAATTATACCAAAAAGCATGACATGAGATAAATATGAACTGAGAAAAAGAAATATTTTTTCTTACAAAAAATAATTTTAAATAATAAAATATATATATTTTCAAAATAATTATTTTTGTATATATCTATCTATTTTATTGGATGATTACATAAAATAATCAACTAACATAAACTGATATATGTTTAATTGACATTTTTTATAATTAGTATTAATGAAATTATTTTTTAGTATATTTATTCGACTATAATATCGTACAATTACTGTAAAATATAAATTCTGTTTTACTTATATAGTATAATTTAAAACCATAACACTATATAATTTAACGAGGTAGAGATATTATATTTTAATATTTAAAATTATCTGTTTTCTTAATAAATATTTTGATTTTCAATTTTATGTTTTTATGTTTGTGAAACTTAATATAACCATAGTCAAAATACTTAAGCAAATCAGAAGCCTTATTTTTAAAATTATTTAAAATAAATTTCAGTTTACCATCCAATCAATCTAAAGCATAAATTTATTTAGAATTTATAAAATATTTTAATTATTGTACATATTGATATGTGTTCAAAAGCTTCTAAAAATTCATTAGTTACTTATGTATGTAATTTAGAATCAGACACTTTAGTTTTTATTTTATTTTTCTTCCAAGCACAAAAAATCTTAAGTTATATATAATCTTACTAAATATACTTATATTTCTAAGATAACAACTAGCATAAATGCAAATAAGACAATTAATCAAAAATTTAATATATTTAAAATATACAAGATTATAGTTGAAACAGATAGAATCCAATATATCTAAATGATAACTAAATCGACCGTAAAAACAATAAAACATACTACATATAACATATGAACAATTATATATATAATTAAAATAATATAATATTATAATATAAATTAGACATACAAACTATAAATTAATTTAAAAAATTAAAGTAAATATCAATCAATTATTATTGTACATTTATTTTATAAATACACATGCCCGTGCATGAGCACGGGAAAATCACCTAGTGTATATATATACATAAAATAAACTTACATCATGTTGACAATGCTATCACGTGCATCAGATTGCAATTGAATTCTCCAATCCAATGTGTCAATCCTAGGTTCCCCATTGGGACAAGAAGGCCCCATTAAGTGTGTCCTGTCTTTACCATCCATGAAGTAACAAAGCATCATTAAATGGACTAAATTCTACATTGCCCCACTCACTACCATCGTCATTCTATTTTAATCCATCACAAATTTGATTTTTTTTTTGTGCTCAAAATCTAAGTATGGTTAAAATATCAATTACCCTTAATGAATCAATATTATATGTAATATGAATTACTAGAAACTACTTTGAATTACTAGAAACTACCTTAAATTACTAGAAACTACCTTAAATTACTAGAAACTACTATGAACAAAAAATAAACTAACTTGAATTACTAGAAATTACTACGAACAAAAAAAAAAAAGTGGGGCAGTGAGAAAAATGGTGGGGTACTTAGAATAGTTATTTTCCAACTGGGGTATATCAGAATACTTTCCTCATTAAATAGTTTCGGACAAATGAGATCAAAACAGAAATTCTCTTTAAATATACAGACACCAGTTTCTTTATCTGATCATCCATTACAAACAAAACAACTTCGTCTACTCTCCTAATTATTAAAAAAAAAAAATGAAACACTTTCTCCTTGAATCCAATCCGTAAGGGAAAACCATCAAAAGAGAAGGCCTCGATTCGAGAAAAAACATAAACGCAATTTGGAAACTTCACCTTGACTCGACGATGGTCAAAGTCGCGACCCAGCGTTACAGCGAAGGAAACCAAAGAGCGGAAGAACAACGGGAAAGGGGGAAATTGAAGTCATAACTAAGGGTTTTTTATACTCCGGCCCATTTAGCTTAAATGGGCCGACACAAATTTAACTGCAAATCCTTTTTAACATGAAAACTTCGTTTTGACAACAATAAAAATCAAAGTAACGCAAATGCTTTTCAATCTTCTCAATCTCATTATTAGGAAAACTACACTAAACATTTTATGTTAAAGACAAAACAAGGGTCTACGATCTATTTCTCCACGAGAAGTATCATATAACACCAAATGTCCACATAACTAGGATCTCATTTTATTTACCGCCGAGAATAAAGTTTAAAACCTATTTCCCCCAAATTAAATTTGTATGGATATTTTCCCATAATTATAAAGATTGAAATCTAAAAACCCACAAAATCAATTTTTAGGGTTTACTATTTGTGAACAAACCATAAACCATGTTAAGCCAATGACTAACCGAATTAAGATCTAATCAATTGGAATTTTTTAATTTGAAGGTTGGGTCGAGTTACTAATTCTGATCCAGATCAAGGTTTCGTTGGGTTTTAAATTTTGTTAGTTTAGTTTTACTCGATTTATTATATCAGAGTGGAGATTTGAAATTTGATTTCAGAATTCTTAATTAAACCAAATTTGGTGGAGAAATAGGTTTCAAACTTTACTTTCAAAAGTAAATAGAACGGGGTCATAATTCCATAGATATTTGGTGCTATACAATACTTTTCGTAGAGAAATAGATCGTCGAACTATAAAACAATCTTGAATGTGGTGTACACTGAACATTAGTAGTACTAAACAGGAGGAAGGTAACTAAAATGCTTTCACATACAACCAGAAGAGGACTACAAGCCTTACATAACATGAAAGAGAGCAAGGCGAGGCTTCCTCCGCAAGAAATATATATCATCGTTACCGATTATACAAACTGGACTAACATTCTTTTATTCATGCCTTTAAAGTTTGGAGGTTTTCAAACTCTCTTCTTAAATATTATCAATACAAATATGGAATCGCCTGAAAGTTCCAAACACCCCCCCCCCCCCACTTCAACGCAATTTTACTTTAGTCGCTCTCTTCCATAGTCTGCATCTTTAAGCATATTTTGCCAAAGTAATCCACCTGAAACTCAGAAACACACACCTTGCTTAATCGAGATGATATCAAGAAAGCACACGTGAGAGAGAGCTTAAGAAATTTTCACAGCACCGTTCTACCATCATCATCCCATTGCTTTCACAAGTGTTGGCAAAAATAGAATGAAGAAGAGGGAAATGAGTGAGACCTTGTTTACAGCAGTGTTGAAAATTAACTCCTCGAAGCTGATAGCAATTCTCCTGAGCTCTTCAATTCCTTCTTGCCCTGAATACGGAACATGTTTCTTCAGTGTTTCCATTCTGCTCAAAATGACAAAGAAGTATTACTTATAACAAAATGTGATAACAATTATGTCTCCTACAAAATATATGAAAAGATGACTACTTTAGATAGAGACAAAAAAATGTAACTAACTTACAACTTGTCAACATTCCTCTGGCGTGAAACCGGTGGCAGTTGAGTTCTCCAGTCACCTGAGTTTATGGCTGGTTCTTCCTTCATGAGAAAAGGCTCTACATTGCCATTATTAATCTTGAAATTGTCTGTGGAATATTCAAAAAGCATCAAGGGTAGCTCCAAAAGTAAACAAAAACTTTATATTAGGTGCCCTAGTCTTAGGGGGCATATATTAAAATAGCTCAAACAAACACAAGGAGAATGCATTATCTAGCACACCAAAACCAGTTTCTGCTAAGCACATGAAGGACGTTGCTTACCCAGTTCATCCAAAGCTAAGTTGGTACTGTTACTATCAGCAGGGATAGAAGAAGAGGAACCAGCTCCGTTTTGCGCTTTAGTCTCCATAGTCAGCATCTTCAAGGATATTGTCCGGAGGTAATCAGTCTATAAAAATTCGAAATAAAAGAAAATTCAGGATCAGGTATACATGGCTAAAGATCATATCTTATTTTCATGTCCATTTCTTTTAGCAAAATCTCTATATAACGAAACAGATATAGAGAAGGACGTGTGTGTATTGTTACCTGGTTAACAGCACGGCTGAAAACTTTCTCCTCGAATCTGGCAGCAATTCTTTTGAGCTCGTTAATCCCTTCTGGTCCAGAATATGGAAGGTGTTTCATTAGTGTATCCAATCTGCGCAAGTGGCACATGTAAGTAAAATAATAATAACCAAAAAAAAAACTTATTGATCTAAGAATATATAATAACAGCACATATATATACAAAACAGGAGATGTGATGATGAAGTTACATCTTGTTGACGATCTTCTGTCGTGCATTAGATGGCAATTGAGTTCCCCAGTGATTTGTGTCCATGGCAGGTTCTCCGTTATTAACACAAGGGCCCATCAAGATCAAGTCTTTTATAACCTCAATTAGAGAAATGAGAGATTAAAGTGTGATTAGCTCCAAAATGTCTTGTAATTATGGAGACTTAGGGCACAAGAAAATAAACTATTGAGTTAAGCCCTCTGATAAGTATCAACTTCGTTCCTACTTGTAGACGTGAAATAAACAAGCCACAATACTTTTCTCGGGACCAGATCACAAGAAGTAAGCAAAACCCTAAAACCAAAGACGAAAATTCGAGAAAAAAATCACCTCAGATTGCAGGAAGAGCTTTCGGGGTTGAAAGTTGCGACGAGCAAAGACCGAGACCAAGACCAATAGCTTGCTTGAACATAAATGTAAAAAGAAAAATGAAAAGAGGTGACATGGCCGAATATGTAAGAGAAAAATGTTACATTGGGGCCCACTGAAATTTGGTTAGTCTGAATAAACTAAACTTTATTTTACTGCACACATTAAAAAAAAAAATCTGCCCCATTGCCTTCTTTGCATTTTGATTAAATTGGTTTAACTGAATTTACTAAATCTAATGGTTTGATTATAAATCTATTAATACTTCTATATCAGAAATTTTAAGTTTCAAAATGCAAATTATGTAGATTATGGAAAAAGAAAAAAAAAGTTACAAAATCTTCTAGATGATAAGTATTTTATTAGAATCTGGAACAATAACAAAATGTCACTTCTCTAGGTAATGTTTCAACATATGAACATCTTATGCTTGTTTAAACCAACTGCTACAAAAAGAAACGTTATTTTTCCTTGTTAAGGATTTCGGATGCGTTAGATAAATCCCTACATGTTTATTCCATGCCTTGAACTTTGGAGGTTTTAAGACCTTCAAGGTGTGATCTTGAAGGAAGTTTTGTGAAGATAATCCACCTGAAACTCGAGATAAACAGAATATCAAACCAAAACAAAAGGAGTTTTGATATCAAGATTCACTGAAGATCATACGATAAACAAGGTTCACTGGTTTGCAATCCATAGACGGTGAATTTGAATTTTCTAGAGCTAAAAACGCCATTCCAGTATTTAGATTAAGAAAATAATCATAACTAATAGCTTTGACTTGAACCACTATAGACAAGAGTTTTGACTGCATGAATTTCATTCATTCCACCGTCCTACCAATATTCCAAGATAAAAATGATGAAACCTGATCAATAGCAGTGTTGAAAATCAACTCCTCAAAGCTAGCAGCAATCCTCTCGAGCTCTTTGTTTCCTTCTTTCCCACAGTTTGGAACATGTTTCATTAGTGTTCCCTTTCTGATAAACAGTTTGGACGTACATCAGCATAGGTCACAGAGATGTAGGCATTAAGCTGGCTCTGAAGTGAGCAAAACTGATAAATTTTTGAAGAGACAACTAATACATAGTGTGTGTACAATGAACTTACATTTTGTTGGCATTCTTGTTGCGTGAATCCGGTGGTAGACAAGTTCTCCAGTCACATGTGTTCACAACAGGCTCTGCTTTCACAGGGACTTCAATTTTCATCTGATGACGACCTATATATGTTCACAAGACGACTTAACAAATGAACTGTGATGATACTTCGAACACACCCAAAAAAAGTTAAGAGCATATATAATACCATATATGTAGCTTACATGAAGACATCAATGCGTTAAATTTACACACCAGTAAAAGCTTATGCTAATACATGCATGAAAGGCTTTATACCCGGATTCAAGGGCAGACTGCTATAACCACCAGGGATAGGTAAAGAAGAAGAAGAACCAGCTGCATTTTGAGATTTAGTCTCCATAGTCAGCATCTTCATGGATATTTTCCGAAGGTAATCAGTCTGAAATTTCGAAAAGAAAAACAAGGATCACTTATATACAATATACATGCCTTAAAGATCATATCTTCTTTTCCATGTACATTGGCACTCGCAAAAATCTCCATCTAAAAACAAACACTAAGGGAAAAAAGTACATAGGAGGAGGAAGTAAGTGTTTACCTGGTTAACAGCACCGTTGAAAATTTTATCCTCGAATCTGGAAGCAATCCTCCTGAGCTCGTTCATTCCCTCTGGTCCAGAATACGGAAGGTGATTATGCATTGTCTTCATTCTTCACAGTAAAATCAAGTAATAAGAATACAAAAAAAAAAAAAAATTAAAGATAACACAAAGGTATATACATCTTGTTGACAATCTTCTCGCGTGCACCAGATGGCAATTGAGCTCTCCAGTCACATGTGTCCATAGCAGTGTCGCATTTTGGAAGAGAAGGTGTACAATTGTTATTATCCATCAAGTAACCTACGTTTTACAAGCCATGAAAAGCAGAATATATAGAGTTAAGTAGACTTGTCATAAATTCATAAGAAAACAGAGAAGACACCAAAACATGAACAAGAAATTTACAGGAAACAAACAACCACACAAAATGGATAGTATTAATGAGTTTTTTGATTTCACATGACATAGATAACGAGTGTGAGAATCTCATTAAAAGAATGGATCCACAGAGGTATTACAACTTGTTCTCATTGTTTTCTGTTATAAAACATTATAATAATAAATCTCTGATATGATCAACACAAGTTTCTTTCATTGATCTATTCTCATTAGAACATTTCCACCTAATTCTCCTAATTGTTGTTAGAAAAAGGTAAATCATGAACAGAAACTTCAACGGAGAGAATACTTCTCTCGCATGAAAGGCTTTATACCCGGATTCAAGGGCAGACTGCTATAACCACCAGGGATAGTTAAAGACGAAGAACCAGCTGGATTTTGAGATTTAGTCTCCATAGTCAGCATCTTCATGGATATTTTCCGAAGGTAATCAGTCTGAAATTTCGAAAAGAAAAACAAGGATCACTTATATACATGGCTACCGTATAATGAAGGCCTTAAAGATCATATCTTCTTTTAGGATGTACATTGGCACTCGCAAAAATCTCCATATAAAACCAAACACTAAGGGAAAAAAGTACATAGGAGGAGGAAGTAAGAGTTTACCTGGTTAACAGCACCGTTGAAAATTTTATCCTCGAATCTGGAAGCAATCCTCCTGAGCTCGTTCATTCCCTCTGGTCCACAATACGGAAGGTGCTTATGCATTGTCTTCATTCTTCACAGTAAAATCAAGTAATAAGAATAAAACAAACAAAAAAAAGTTACTGATCTAAAAAAACAAGAGATATGATGATGAAGTTACATCTTGTTGACGATCTTCGGGCGTGAATCAGATGGCAACTGAGTTCCCCAGTCATTTGTGTCCATGGCAGGTTCTCTGTTATTAACACAAGGCCCCATCACGTATATATATATAGTAGAAGACTTCTATAACTTCAATTAGAAAACAAGTTAAAAAAAAGTGTGATCAACCCCAAAATGTCTTTGTAATATTTTATAGGGCACAAGAAAACAAACTATTGAGTTGGAAAAACCTCTGATCAGTAATAACTCATGTATTCGAGTCCTACTCCTACTTGTTGCTATAGGAAAAGAGATGGTACTAAGAGAGCCAGGTCATCTTTGCCACGTCATCAAGAGAATGCAATTATATAGCTTGAGAAAACAGAAGTTACAATCATCAAAAATGGTCAAGAAAGTTTGTTACTTCTCTTTATCTTTTCTGGTTTGTTTCCCAGTGATTTTCCCAGAAAATCACCATTGATTCCTCATCTTTGCTCTAGAGTGTTTCTACATGTATCTCTTGGCAAGTGAGAAGTGGATTGTTGTTTCATGAACATTTAATCCAAATATATCGAGTTACTATTCATCATCTTCTTCCTCGTTACGTTTTACTGTAACACTTGTACAAGGAAAAAAAAAAAAAAAAAACGAGCCACAATGCGTTTCTAGAATCTCAGCCACAAGAAGATAACAGAACCCTAAAATCAATGACGAAATTCGGGAAATCACCTCAGATTGCAGGGACGACGAGCAGAGCAGAGACCACCAATACTGTGCTTGCTTACTTGAACATAAATCTAATTTGTAAACAGATAAAAATGAAATCCAAACTAGTATTTGTTAACCGGCCCAAGTTAAGCTATACAGATGTGACACGGGTCTAATGAGCCAGATATATATAGGCCCAATATAATGTTACAAGGAGGACCCACTGAAAATTTTATCAGTCAGTACAATTATCTAAACTTTATCTTATAGCATTTTGATTATACTTTTTAACTAAGTTTTATTGATAGTGAGAATTATTTTATCTTGAATTCTTGATCAATCCATTTATATTTTAAAATTGGGTTTTACGCGGTTTTTATTTCTTATCAAACCTTTTTTTTTTTTGCTAAGAAATTAAACCCATTAAACTTGAGCATAAAGTACATGGAACAATAACAAAATTTATAACATGAGTTTTTTTTTTTTTAACAAATTACCAACCAACCATTTTTCCTCCATTAAAATTTTACCTCTGGATCCACGTCTAGTTAAATTTATATACTAACTGTATATCAAACATTATACTATGCAAACTATTCATTTCTTAAAAAAGAATGTAATGTTATAGCAGCAATACTTTTTTTTCTTTTCAACCCGAAACCCGAACTGACATGTAAATATCCGATTCAAAACCGAAGCAAAAATTTACAAGTATCTATCATGTCCAAAATTCTTTTATCCAATATGAATCGGAATCGAAAAGAACTGATCCGAATAGACCTGGATTCGAAAAGAACCAATCTGAATAGACCCAACCTGATACGAACCGATTTATATCCGACTTGATAATATGAATATCTAAAACTATGAATATTTTGTGTTCTATTTTCTATATTTTATTTTATGATTGAGTTGAAATATCATTTTGTTAACAATATTTATTATTATTATATAACATTTTCAACTAATATGAATTTTTAAATGTAAAATTTAAAGTTTAAAAAATGTTTTATTTTAGTTATTAATAGTTTATGAGTTATTTTGTAAAAATGTAGATATGTATGATAATAGAGTTTAACTAAATTTGATGGAATTTGGGTATTTTGTTTCCTTTTCATATCCTAAATACATGAATCTGAAATATCTGGACCGAAACGGATTCGAATATTACAGATTTTTTACAAGTATTTTAATTATAGATTTGAAACTACTTGAATTCGAGAAAACCGACCCAAACCGAAAATTTACAAATACCTATTAAATTAAAAAAATGGTTTTAGTTAAATAAACGTTGTTATTCCTTGTAGATGATTTCGGTTAAAAATTGGCATTTGGAGCTTTCAAGGCCTTCAAGGTGTGTGCTCTTTATTAATAAATGGAATTGCCTGAAAACTTCAAACGCAATTTGAATTAGTTCATAGTCTGCATCTTGAAGGATATCTTGCGAAGATAATCCACCTGAAACTCGAAATAAACAGAATATCAACACCATAGAGAGTTGATACTTGATATCAAGGTTATGGAGATCACACGATAACAAGGTTCATTGGTGTCACAACAATTCAGAAGAGTTTTTTCTGCATGAATTTCATTTCACCGTTCTACCAAATATTACAAGATAAGATGATTAAAAAAATAAAAAATAAAAAATAAAAGATGATAAAACCTGATCAATAGCAGTGTTGAAAATCAACTCCTCAAAGCTAGTAGCAATTTTCTTGAGCTCTTTGTTTCCTTCTTTCCCACAGTTTGGAACATGTTTCTTTAGTGTTCCCTTTCTGCTCAAAATGACAAACAGTTTATCCGCACATAAACATATATATATATATATATATAGGTCACATACAGCCATATGCCAGAACGTTCAGAGCTTTAGCATTTACGTTGGTTCTGAAGTGAGCGAGATGACAGTTCTGGAGAGAATGTAAAATGAACTTACATTTTGTTGGCATTCTTCTTGCGTGAATCCGGTGGCAGGCAAGTTCTCCAGTCACCTGTGTTCGTGGGGCCTTGGATTGTCATCTTATGACAACCTATAAATGTTCACAAGAAGACTAACAAATTAATTGTGATGATATTTATTTCAAACACACCCGAAATTTTCATAGTTATAATAATCTATTCTAGTTTAGATCATATATATACATCTAGCTTACATGAAGATATATCAATGCGTTAAACTTAGAGACAAATAAAAGCTTCTGCTACTACTTGCATGAAGGAAGGGTTTACCTGGATTCAAGGGTAGACTGCTATAACCACTAGGGATAGGTAAAGAAGAAGAAGAACCAGCTGTAGTTTGATATTTAGTCTCCATAGTTAGCATCTTAATAGCTATTGACCGGAGGTAACCATTCTGAAAATTCGGAATAAAAGAAGATAAGGATCATGTATACATGGCTTTCATACACCACCGTATAATGGGGCTACCAGAAATAATTTATCTTGTTTTCTGTCTTATATAATTAAGCCATACTAATGAAAGAAAGATAAAGGAGAACGTGTGCGTTACCTGATTAACAGCACTGCTGAAAATTTTCTCCTCGAACTTTGCAGCAATTCTCCTGAGTTCTGGTGAAGGAATGTGCTTCTGTAGCATTTCTGTTCTGCACAACACACAATGATTTGGTGAAAATGAACTATATGTTCATGAACTTCCTTCTGGTTTAAGACAAAAGCCAATTGCTAGAGTGGGAAAATAATAGAGATACTAATTAATAAACACCAGGGTATATTAATTAAACTTACATCTTGTTGACAATCCTCTCGCGTGAACCAGTATTCAGTTGAGTTCTCCAGTCATATGTTGTCATGGCAGGTTCTCCTCTTGGAAGAGAAAGCCCCGTAATGGATTGTATACTTATATAACTCAAATTACAATAAACAGAGAAAGTGTGAATATCTTATAATGTCTTTAGAACGAGGGCATGCTATCAAATGTAAGCTGAAGTTTGATATCCGAGAGAGTTAATATTGTTTAGAAACATAAAAAATTGTCTGAGACATTATAAAACAAAAATTTTTTCATACCCGCATAATAATTTGATCTTGTTTCTGTGACATTTTATATCATCAAAACAAAAGACTTATAAATCAATCTGTAAATAAAATAACAAAATAGTACCCGTGCTTTTTAAGCGCGGGTCAAAAATCTTGTAATCTATTAAGTTTGTAAAATTAGAACAAAAACAAGTTCATTGAGTTACCTAGTTGTTATTATTACAAGAAAGGCAAGAATGTGTAATGAACTTACGTCGTGTTGGCATTATTTGGGCGTGAATCCGATGGCAGTTGAGTTGTCAAGCCACATATGTTCACTGCAGCTTCTGCTCTCGGAAGAGAAGGCTTTGAATCAACATTGTCCATAACATGACCTGTGTTCACAAAACATGATCAAGAATAGAATCGTAACTCCACAAAAACCGATCAAGAAACTGAAATAAATGCATATTAGGTGCTCTAGTCTAGAGCATATATATAAGGAAAAGAAATGCATTTGATATATCACACCAAAAAAAAGGCTTCTGCAGCTACATGCATGAAGGACTTATACCAGGATTCAGGGGTTGTTTCTTGCTAGCCTCAGGGATAGATAACGAAGAAGAAGAAGAACCAGCTGCGTTCTGCCATTCAGCCTCCATAGTCATCATCTTCATGGATATTTTCTGAAGGTAGTCAGTCTAAAATCCCCAAAGTTTAATCTTTATATATAAAAAAAAAAAACATACTGAAAACAAATATAGAGGAGAGGATGGAGTATTACCTGGTCAACAGCACCCCTGAAAATGTCATCCTCGAACGTCACAGCAATTGTCCTTGCCTCGTTCACTCCCTCTGCTCCAGAAAATGGAAGGTGTTTCATCAGTTTCTCCATTCTGTGCAAGTTTATGAATGAGTTAATCAATCAAAAAACAGTTAATATTATTACTCAATGAAAACCTTTGCAGAGGGAAGTATAACACTAGGACGTTATACTAATTAAACTTACATATTGTTGACGATCTTATGGCGTGAATCAGGTGGCAAATGAGCTCTCCAGTTATCTGTGTCCATGTCAGGCTCTCTTTTTGGAAGAGCAAGTCTCCGACTTTTATTTTCCATCATGTGACCTACGTTTACAAGCCATGAAGAGCAGAGTATCAAGAGTAAGTAGACACATGACCATGAAACAAATGACCACACAACATACGGATTATATTTACACTCAGAAGTTCTCAAGGGGTTTCTATGAATAAGTTTTTTTTCACAGGATATCGATGATGAGTATGAAAAAAAAACTCATTAGAGAAATGAATCCACCGAGGTATGTACAACTTGTTCTCTCCTATATTTTTTTTCTGTTATAAAACCATTTCAGTAATAAATCTCTGATATGATCAACGCCAGTTTTTGATCTATTCTCATTGAACAGTTCCACCTATTCTCCTAATTTTTATTAGAAAAAAATAGATCATAACTTCGAGGGAGAGACAATACTTCACTCATAGAAGAAGGAAAAAATCAATAACCAGACACCTCAAATCCAGAGCCTATGGACAAGATTTGTGTGGGGATCAAGGTATGCGACTAGCTGAGAGACAAAACCGAAAATGGAGAAAATTCAAGTGAAAACTAGATTTTGTTAATCAGATCAATTCGAAAGTAATTGGTACTCATGTAGGGCGAAACCAGCCACTTGTAACGTAAAATATAGACTATATAGTATGTCCGTTGGATCGGTCTCATACACATTAGGAATCCTGAGCTTTCAAATATTTTTTTATAAAACCTCAATAGGCCATGTTTCTTTTCAATTTTAAGTGCATGAGTATTCTAACCGAGCCCTAGCATAGACCTGTTGGAGTATCGAAACTGAATACATTACCAAGAAAAGTCAATGTGTAATGAAAGGGAAGAAGGTGTGAAACATATCAGGAGAACTGTACATTACAGAAGATTGAAAACCACTACTCAAACATTTTCCTTTCTTTAAAAACAAAACAAAAAAAAAACAAACAATGTTCTGTTTAAATCAACTGCTACAAAAAAAAATTGTTTTAATTCTGTACACCAATTAAATAAACGTTGTTTTTCCTTGTTGATGATTTCTGTTAAAGAAAGGGTAAGGATGCGTCAGATGTATTCCTACATGTGTTATTCATGCCTTAGAACTTTGGAGGTTTCAAGACCTTCAAGATGTGCTCTATATTAAGTTATGGAATTTTCTGAAAACTTCAAACGCATTTTGAGTTAGTCAACCCTCGTTCGTAGTCTGCATCTTGAAGGATATTTTGCGAAAATAATCCACCTGAAATAAACCGAATATCAAACTAGAAGGAGTTGACATCAAGGTTCACACAAACGAATCAGAAGTTTTGGTTTGTAATCCATAGACTGTGAGAAACTCTATTTACTAGAGCTTCATTTCACCGTTCTACCAAATATTACAAGATACAAATGACTAAACCTGATCAATAGCAGTGTTGAAAATCAACTCCTCAAAGCTAACAGCAATCCTCTTGAGCTCTTTGTTTCCTTCTTTCCCACAGTTTGGTACATGCTTCTTTAGTGTTCCCTTTCTGCTCAAAATGATAAAACAAGTTAGCAGTACACAAACATCATTATAGGTCACGTACAGCAATATCTCAGAAAGTTTGTACCATTGTTTATCTAATGAGCTGGTTATGAAGTGAGCAAAGTTCTGGAGAGAATATAAAATGAACTTACATTTTGTTGACATTCTTCTTGCGTGTATCCGGTGGCAAACAAGTTCTCCAGTCACCTGTGTTCACAGCAGCCTCTGATTTGATCGGGCCTTCAATTGTCATCTGATGACAACCTTATATATGTCCACAAGACGACTAACAAAATGAATCGTGATGATATTTTTCAAACATACTCAAAATTTTTCATGTTATTATTATGTGTTAATAGTTTATAGCATATACATACATCTAGCTTACATGAAGAGATAAATGCGTTTAAAATTACACACCAACAAAAGCTTCTGCTACTACATGCATGAATGGCTTATACCTGGATTCAAGGGTAGACTGTTATAAGCACCGGGGATAGGTAAAAAAGAAGAAGAAGAAGAACCAGCTGCATTTTGATATTTAGCCTCCATAGTCAGCATCTTTATGGATATTTTCCGAAGGTAATCAGTCTGAAAATTCAAAATAAAAGAAAATCAGGAACTCTCACTTTTCAAAGATATAATTGTCGATGAAGACCTATCAAAGATCTCTCGAATCTATGTTTTTCACTTTCTGATTTAAGAAGCAAAAGCGAGAAAAAAAATTAAAAAGAGATTTGTATCATATGCCAAAATCGGGAACGTTACTTCTAGATTACTGAAAAAAAACTCGATTCACATGTATTAACAAAACCGGAGAAAACTCTTGTATTACCAGGTTAGCAGCACCACTAAAATTTTTTTCCTCGAACCTGGAAGCAATTCTCCTAAGCTCTATAATTCCCTCTGGTCCAGCATACGGAAGATTCTTCTTTAGGATTTCCATTCTGCGCAAACACAACACAATGATTGGGTAAAAAAAATATAAAGATAACACAAAGGTATATACATCTTGTTGACAATCTTCTCGCGTGCATTAGATGGCAATTGAGCTCTCCAGTCACATGTGTCCATAGCAGTGTCGCATTTTGGAAGAGAAGGTGTACAATTGTTATTATCCATCAATTAACCTACGTTTTACAAGCCATGAAAAGCAGAATATATAGAGTTAAGTAGACTTGTCATAAATTCATAAGAAAACAGAGAAGAAACCAAAACATGACCAAGAAATTTAGTATTAATGAGTTTTTTTTATTTCACATGACATGTATAATGATGAGAATCTCATTAGAAGAATGAATCCACAGAGGTATTACAACTTGTTCTCATTGTTTTCTGTTATAAAACATTATAATAATAAATCGCAAGATATGATCAACACAAGTTTCTTTCACTGATCTATTCTCATGAGAACATTTCCACCTAATTCTCCTAATTGTTGTTAGAAAAAAGTAAATCATGAACAAATACTTCAACGGAGAGAATACTTCTCTCGCTTCTCAACCAAAATATAATAACGAAAATTAAATAACGTCACCTCAAATCCAGAGCCAATGGACGAGATTTGTGTGGGGATCAAAGCTTGCGACGAGCAGAGAAGAAAATGAGGAAAAGTAGAGTGGAAAAAACTGGTTTAGTTATTAATCAGCCCACACAAAACCAAGTTTAGAAAATTATCGGCTTAACTCAGAAACAAATTGGTTACTAATCCGTTGGATCGCTCTCATACCATTTTTTTGAACCCATAAGAGCCATGATACTCATTTTTTGTGCATATCATTCTAAACATAGACAGCTCCTAGATAATTAAACAGATGGAAAGTCGATGTACATTAAAAACAAACAATAAAAGAAGAAACGTACCTATGTCATAGATAAATAATCAAATAGTTATTAAATTACATTTCATCTTATATGATTAAGCATAAAAGTGTGAAAAATACTCAAACAGCGAGAGACAGAGAGGATTCAAGTAGGACAAGAGCAAAAACTTGCAAAAACCTAAGAATTAATATCTAGAAGAAAGAACGAAAACCACCAAAAACTCAAAAACATTTAACTCATCTCCACTGTCATTAAAATCCTTTTTTCCTTTTGCAAAACCTATGGCATGGGAGGACGATTATCTATTTTTTAGACTTATCCATATCATAATATATAGTTACAGTTATAACGTAGTCTAGAACGTGTGGCTGACAAAAGAATATCCGTGTTTGATGGCTGTCTTGTAGTTATACATCAGCTGGTTCCATAGGGTTGTTGTTATCAAGAGGTATGTTAAGGTCAGGGAGCAAGAATGAGGAGCAGTCATCCTTCTTTAGTGACTCAGCATCCTGCACATAGATAAGATTTATGTTATATATTTTCCTCAAAAGAGTGATCATGTTTACTAGGTTTTTGTTTTAACCTGCTGCATTTTCTTTAACGACTCGTTTCTTGCTCTTTGTTGCTTTAAAAGATCTCGAATACTTGCGAGTTCCTAATTCATGCAACAATTAAATATGTTAGATTTACTTTGGGGTTTGCACCTTGGTGTTGAAAGAAAATGGGAAAAGAGAGTTTTTTTTTTTTTTACATTTTTCAAGCTTTTCTTTTCCTTTAAGAGCAAACTCTCCTCCTCTTTAAGCTCAGCAAGCGTCTGTAGAAAGTCACATACAGTGATTAGATAATTTTCATAACATTGTGGTTCTACCAGAATCCTACAAAAATTGTTTTACCTTTTTCTTTCTTGATCTCTTGAAAGGGGTTGTTGTTGTTACACTTGTTTGAGATATCTGCATGAAAACACACCACGAATATCACATAGTGGCTTCTTAGACTATGTACAATGGTTTCGAGATTCAACACCCTCCACTTCATTTTTTTACATGCCACATCATTTTCTCTTTCTTCTATCTCATCATTCAATACATATTCAACATTTCTCCACTACAATGGTTTTGTTTAATAAAATTCAACACTATATTTACGAATTAATTATTTTTTTAAAAAATATTCAAATTAAATAAATTTAGTCTCTATTAATAAAGAATTTAAAAATGATAGATTTTCATATCAAAAATAAAAATAAATTATTTAGTTTATAATAAAATAATTGGGTTTAAAAAACAAAGAAAATATGAAAATGTCAAAAAACTTTAGAAAAGTGACATGTGTCGTCAGTGGTCCCCACTTTCTTCTTATTCAACTAGTTGAATCTTTTCAACATAGTTTAATCCACCTCAGCAAATTTCATTTTTCAACACCCCCATTGTAGTGATTCAACTGTTGAATCTTTTATTCAACACCCCCATTGTACATAGTTTTAGAACATATAGCTAACAACAGATCATGTCTAAAACCGAATCCATAAGAGTAAGAAGAATCTCTGCTACATCTTAAGGATGATCATAAGCATAAAGTGGTCGATCAATAACAAAGATTGCACTTCGCCAGATAAATATATTAAAAACATTCAAAAAGGAATCTTCTATCTTGGTCAACTACTTAAGACCAAAAAGAAAAGCCACTATGAACTTAAGCGCCTTTTTTTCTTCTTACATCGAGACACACCCAGTTTGAAAGAAAGAATAGAATCACGTGACTGGAGCGTGACTTTACGCGTGTCTTCCCTTGACAGGAACCCCACACCATTCCCTTACCTTACCCCCGTTGTCACGAATTATCCACATAACCACATGTCTCTATCACATTCCTTTATCTTTCTTTTTAATTACTTCTTACCCAAACATTTGTGACTTTATGGCTTTTTCTACTTTGGTAAGATGATTCCAGCTTAAACCATATAATTAAAAAAAAACTACGAAATAGACAAGGCTGTCACCAATAATATAACTCATGCCACGGTGAGAGGAAAGGAGCTAGTGATTTTGACCATATGTGTTTTGGATTGAAGTTTTTGACTTTTATTTTTAATTATTCCACGTCAGCTTTAACCTATGCGAGTTACTATGCGCTACGCTGCATCTGATTACACCACACACGCACCAAACCCATAGCCCAGACCTAATTCGCCACGAAAACGCCTCTCGACCCATAAAAGAGGCAACCCCCTCATTATAAGCAATTATAAATAACGCCAGCCATAACTACTCTTAATTGACCGAATTATCCCTCAGCATACTCTATGACAAGGGGTAATCTCGTCATTAAATTCTGTAACCAGCATTCAGGAACGATGCAGCATCGTGACGTGAGCTTGATAACCAAACAGGCTAACTTCTATATTTGATGGATCTTATCGAAACTGACAATAGAAACTCAGAAAGCGAAAAAAGCAGAGAAGATAGACTTTTCGTTTTTAAAAGAACGTGCGGCTTAGTACGGTCATTGAAGGATAATACGGTCAACGCATAGTCGGAGTATATAGATCGAAGAGGGGCTGAAAGTACCGTGACCGGCGAAGAGATTCCGAAATTACGAAAATGACCCTAAGAGAAACAAAGTAGGAAAAAAAAAGAAAGTTGTTGCGGAAAAAATGCAAGACCGAGATAACGTGAAATGGATATCTCCAACAAAAAAAATATGATTATGCTTCAGGGTATTATTATACGGTGGCTAGTGTCGCTGCCCACCGGCGTTTGCCAGCCCCACGCATCCCGATGAACTTATTCGTCCTTTTTTTTTTTTTGTAAAAAAACTTATTCGTCAAACACACACAAACATATTGTGACGCAAAGAGTTTTTAAAAAACTGGCGAGAATAAAAATAAAACGAACCTTAGATCTAACGGTCTCTGAGAGTCTCACGCCACCGCTAGATTCCTCAACTCCATCAATAGCAAGAGCACCGCTGCCTCCGCCTCCACCACCGCTGAGAGAAGTGGCGCCGCCGCTCCAGGAAAGAGGCGTAGTGGGACTTGAACGCGTACTATGATCTCCCTTCTTTCTTGATGACGTAGCCGCCTTGCTCCTCCTCTGTCGCACGTTCCATTTCAGCTTGAGATCGGACGCGCCGCTCTTCTCGGGAAGTGGCGGCGGCGGCTCAGCGTGGTGGAGGCAGATCAGAGCCTCGGCCACTAATGAATCATCGCTTATAGCCTCCTGAGTCCAGTCTCCGCCGGTCATAGCTTAGGTTTGGACCGTCCACCAAATTGAGAGAGAGAGAAGAGAAAGAGAGAGAGAAATGGTGGCGAAAAGTGGAGAAGAAGAAAAATCTCCGTGGCACATTAATGGGTGGATTTTTATATATAACGTTTTCACACACACAGTTAGATAGATTGAAATTTATTTGTCTCTTTATTTTCTTTCTTGGTAGATGTGGGACCCATGGAATGCTTTCGTGGCATCATGGAGTCTTTGTGTTTTGTCCAAACCGTAATAATATAACAGTAGCGTCTATACTCTACGCGCGATGAGTGAGACTGTATTTTATTCCTTGCTTGACGGTTCGGTTACATCCACACTGTATATGCAGTTTCGGGATAATTTTGTAGACGTGTGAGGTCTTTCTTATTGAAAACACTCTCATACCTAGTACGGAAACCAACATAGTTTTAGATGCCATTTGTATTAAAGGTATATATAGTAAGTAGTATATTGAAATCTATGCTTTCTTTTTCTCAGATTTTTTTTTTAAAATAAGTTGAAATTATGTATATTGATCCTTGTTCAAAAATGCGTTCTCCGCGGACAGTTAATCGGCGAATATACGTGGGGCAGAGGACTACCGGTACGATTTGGTGTTAATCGAAACATTAATCGGTTTTTTTTTTAAATTACCATTTTTGTGTGTTTTCTGTTCCCAAATCACATACACCTCTTAAATTTATTCTATTGTGATTGATATCATCAAGAATAACTAGATTAAACAATGAAATCGCAAAAGAAAAAGAACGGTGGCTGTAGTTCTGTAAAAAAATCGCAGAGATTTAGGTAGAATATAAAGATATTTTCGTCTTTTCCCAATCATTAAACCTAAAAATTCAAAAAAAATGACAAAATGAGCTGAACACTGCTCAAACCTTGGGTTAGAATGGGTTTGGGAAGCACATTACCACTAGCCTATGTGCTATCAATCATTTTAGTACACATATTAAATATAAAACACATATAAAATCCTTAAAATTTCCTCCTCGATTAATCCCCGTATAATATCCGATTAACTGATTCGGCGCTAGGCGCTACCTGACCTAGCGCCACCTGACTACACGCGTACCGCCTAGCAAGTTTCTGAAGAAGGATACTGATATATATATATATATATTCAAATTTACTTTGTATATCAATCTTAAAATTGACAAAATTACTATTTACGAAACCATTTCCCATGATAATATGATAATGGTCGGTTAATTAAAAACACTCCATTGCTTGTTGGGCCTTTAATTTTTTTTAAATAGTTCACGCTCATGGGTTTCGAAAAGAGTAAAAGACCAATGGGCCTTCATCGGACATTACTCCGCACGAGATCCGGTTTATCAGACTTCGCTTGAACAATATTTCTGACTCAAACTAAACCGGGAAAAGTCTTAAACATTTTCATTTCAACTAAACCGGGATTAACTGTAAATCTAAATCTGTTATCGTCACCATCATCATCATCCAAAGCCCTAAATCCCTGATTCAAACCAGACAAAAACAATGGCGTCTCTTCTCGCCAGACGTCAACGAAGTTTCCAATCAAACCCATCTCTCACTCGCTTCTTCTCTACCTCCTCATCAGACCCACCTCCCCAAGAAAAACCCTCCCAGCCACCACCGTCTTACTCTTCTCCCTTCACCGAAATCAAGTCCACTCTGAAGCAAAAACTACAGCAACAGGATCAAGAAGAGAGTAAGCCATTGGCTAAATCCTCCAATGATCACAACCCACGCGGGTCTTTCCAAGATATAGGAACCAAACTCGCCAAGTTCCAGCGTAGATCCACCACAAATCCACCTCCAATCGATTCATCATCACAGCCTCGTCCCCGTATCTCATTCGAGGCGCTCTATAAGCAAAACGTTGTAGCGGATCCTCGGAACCGGAGAGGGCAGGAGACCGATTCGAGTAACTTATGGGAAAATTTGAAGACTTTGAAGGCAAAGTCCAACGCTTTAGACAATACTGAGATGAAAGGTTTGTCCTTTCGAAGTTTCAAGAACACTTTGAAAGGAAACGTTGGAAGAGGAGGAGGAGGAGGAGAAGGATTGCCGGCGTCTGTGTTTGGGAATGAGAGGAAGGGTAGTGGGGAAGGTGAAACAGAGGAGATGGTGACGGAGTTTTTAAAGATTTATAGGGAAGATGAGTTGGGTGAGAAGCTAAGGAGGCTTAGGCCGGAGGGGAAGAAAGAGGAAGGGTGGTTTTCGTTGCAGGAGTTGAATGAGAGGTTGGTTAAGTTAAGGGAAGTGGAAGAGAAAGAGGTTTATAATAATCAGCGTGGGAGTGTTTCGGTTATTAGAAATGTTATTGGAACGTTTCGGAATGAGGCAGCCATCAATGAAGCTATTTCTCGTATGTTGAATGACTCTCTTTGAGCTTAGATATTGGTTTTGATGTTGTTGTCTGTAGCTATGTTTTGCTGTTGAAATGATCTAAGGAGGTTTATGTGGTTGCAGAGCAGAATCATGACATTTTGGGATATTTGGATGGTACCCCTGAATACAAGCTTTATCCTCCAAAAGATGTTCTTGTTGAAACTGTAAGTGTTTTGTTTGGCTCTTGGACCTTTTAAGTTAGTAGCGTGTCAGTCTTATTAATTGGAAACAAAGGCTTCTTTGGTTTTTTTGTATTTCTTGATATACAATGCTCTGTTGATCTGTTGTGGTCGTTTAAGTAAACAAATGGTTATTGATCTGTTTTTATGTGACTTGCATCAACGAAGTACTTCCACACAGATAATCTTTCATCTGCGGAGAAGATGAAAATCGAGCTCACGAAAGTCAGGGAAGATTTCAAGATGTCGGAATCAGATTGTGGTTCTGCACGTGTGCAAGGTAAATTCTATGTGTTGGATGAATGGTTCTGAGACGGTTTTGGTTTAGATTGTCGTTTGATGTCTCTGGTTTCTCCTTGCAGTTGCGCAGCTCACTACTAAAATTAAGCATTTGTCATCTGCTCTGCACAAAAAGGTAACACTCGAAAGTTGTTTTCAATATTCTTCTGTGTGCTTAAATGTCATATACCTGTTGGATGTATAAACCGCAGGACAAGCATTCTCGGAAGGGACTTTTTGCTATGGTGCAGAAACGGAAGAAGCTTCTGAAATATCTTAGACGAACTGACTGGGATTCTTATTGCCTTGTCCTGTCAAAACTCAGCCTTCGTGACAACCCGGATTACAAGTTCTAAGCTTTATGCATTAGTAACTCCATGGTTCTGTCTCCGCACTCTTTTGGTTTAGGCAACACTCTGTTGTGAGTGAGACTTAGCTGTTCAAACCCTGTTAGGCATTTTACTTTCTAGGGAAGAAACTTGCTCAACTCTATTGTTTCACTTTAAGCTCTCCAATCATGCACTTGCTGCAACGAAATGAAGTTGTGGATCTCTTTCTTTGTTGTTTAATAATAAAAGTTACTTAATGAAGATGCATTTTCATGATTTCGTTTTTTACATCTTTTCACAAGCAAAGTTGGTGATATTTTAAAGCAACCATATGATCTTGAACCCAAATGTCACATTGGAAAATAAGAGCATTAAGTTTTTGGAGAGGAGAAGTTATATCTACAAACACAAAAACATCATTTCTTACAAACCAAGAGCACCTAGAGGCGTCTTCCCCTGACCAGCCTCAAAGTAAAAGATCAACATAGCAAGCATAGCGAGCCTAGAGTGCTTAATCTCCGCAACCTTCAACCTCTCCAGCTTCTCCCTATCTGGCTCATAAACACCATCACGTGTCTTCCCAGCCAAACCCAACGGGTCAAAGAATCTTCCACCAGGATATCCTTGATCACCAGTGTAGTTTGCAAAATTCTCAGCGGTCCTCGACCACGGCGTGGCCCACTCAACTGACTGAGAGTCAGGGTTGAAGAAGTCCACCCACCTTTTGCTCTCCACCCAACCCATGAGAAGAAGTTGGGTTCCAAGAAGTGAACCGAAAGAGAAGGGTGCAATGGCACGTGGATCAGCTCCGGCTTCGAACCATGGCACGCCACTCCATGCTTGGCCCACGAAGATCCCAAGAACAGCTGCCATCGCCCATCGTCCGTGGATCAGCTCTGCCTCTCTGTACCATTTCAAAAAAGCCGGGTCTTTTCCTAGACCCAATGGGTCGAACCCGAAATCTCCGGGTAGCCTGCCAAAAACCATTCACGTAGGCCTCAGAAAGGAAGTAACTTTGAATGAAAAGCATCCACATGTGACATAGAAATTTTCTTAACTTTATGTACACATGACTGTTCACACGAAAGTCAATATCATCATTGTTCTATTGTTCATGTTTGTAACGAAGAGATTTGAGTGGATAGACTTACGAGCCATCGAGCCATTCAGGGTCAAGGAAGTTGCCGCCACCTTTAACAGCGGGGATCCAAGATTTCTTGGGCTGAGCAGCAGCAGCAGCAACAATCAGAGTTTTCCTACCAACTCTCGCAACTGCAGAACCTACACCGGTTCCTAAAGCGGCGGCACTCCTCTTGCCTCCGGCGAGGAAGGAAGAACCAAGCCCACTGAGCACAGCTCCAGAGACAGCCATCGCCATGACAACTCTAATAACTCTCCTCTGTTTTTTGTTTGTATCTCAAGAGTGCAAAGTGAGTGTTTTGTTTTCTGTTTTCTGGAGAACAAAATGAATCAAAGGGAGGAGTTTTAGAGGGGGGACGAGGAGATGATGAGAATCTATAGACGAAATCTCAGAGGCTGTCGTGGATAGATTTCTGACCAATCAGAACACAGAAACAACTTCACCATATCCACATCACTCATCCTTGTCTTGTACTTGCCAACTCAGTATTTGTATATAACTGTGTTTTATCTAAAACGACACGTGGACAACTCTGATTATAAAATTACAAATTACAGCCATGGGTTTGTACAATGTGGCATTACTGCTTATTACGTTTAGGTTACGTTACATATTTATGATTAAACAAATAAAAAAAGGAGAAATTTGAAAATACAGGAAATCAACGATTAAATGGCGGGGAATCCCAAGAGGGTGCAGGAAGCTGAGCCACCGGCTGATTTGAACCTGTGTCCGGGTTTGGATATGGATTTTCCGGTATTGTTACCGGTGGTTGCTCCGGCGGTAGCCATGGATTCGTTACCTCCGGTGGCGTGGTAAAGACGGGAGTTTGCGGTGGCAAATCTCCTAGAACTGGTGGTGTGGAGAATACTGGAATTGTCGGTGGATCTTGTACGATCGGAGGTGTTGTGAAAACCGGTGGAAAGTCTTGAACCGGTGGAGGCAGAATCGGCGGAAGTTCTTGAACCGGTGGGGGTAAAATTGGCGGGAAATCTTCAACCGGTGGTGGTAAAATGGAAGGGAGGTCTTGAACCGGTGGTGGTAAAATCGGAGGGAGGTCTTGAACCGGTGGAGGAATGATTGGCGGGAAATTTTCAGTTGGTGGAGGTAAAATCACGGGAAGGACTACTGGCGTTGGTGTTGACTGGTCAATTGGTGGCTCGATTGTTTCATCAGGTGGTGGAAACTCTGGCGTAGTTTGTTCAGGCGGTTGTAGGATCGGAGGTGTGTCTTGAACTGGTGGAGGAATAATTGGCGGGAAATTTTCAACAGGTGGAGGCAAAATCTCGGGAAGGACTGGTGGTGGCAATGGTGTTGGCTGGTCATTTGGTGGCTCGATTGTTTCATCAGGTGGGGGAAACTCTGGTGTAGATTGGTCTGGTGGTGGTAGTATCGGAGGTATGTCTTGAACCGGTGGAGGAATAATTGGCGGGAAATTTTCAGCAGGCGGAGGCAATATCTCGGGAAGGACTGGTGGCATTGGTGTTGGCGGGTCATTTGGTGGCTCGATTGTTTCATCAGGTGGTGAAAACTCTGGCGTAGATTGGTCTGGTGGCGATGGGGTCAGTGGAAAGTTGTCGACCGGTGGTGGGAGTAGTGAAGGGGTATCTGGTGAAGGTAGTGGAGTTTCAATGGTTGTATCCGGCGGTGAAAATTGTGCATTTGGTGGTGTTAATGTAGAATGATCTAATGGTGGAGGGAGGAGAATAACAGGTGATGGCGGTGGAGATCCGGTGGTTTGGTCAGGTGGTGAAAACCATGTCATTGGTGGCATTGGCGGGAGGTCGGCAACCAACGGAGGAGGAGGTGCACTGTTAGTACTTGGGGCTTCGGCGCCTAAAAGTGGAGGTGAACCAGTGATTCTTGGAGCTCCTCCAAGTAAAAGAGGGGGAGGAGGTGCACTTGTGATTACAGGAGCTCCACCACCTAAAAGAGGAGGAGGTGAACCGGTGATTTTTGGAGTGTCACCGCCTAAAAGAGGAGGAGGTGAACCGGTGAGTCCTGGAGCTCCACCGCCTAAAAGAGGTGGTGATCTAATGATTCCTGGAGCGGAACCACGTAACAGAGGAGGAGGTGAACCGGTGATTACCGGATCTCCACCACTTAAAAGAGGAGGTGGTGTCATCGTAAACGGTGGCGTTGAAACAGAGCCGCCAGGTACTGATGGTGGTGGAGATAAGACTAATGGAAAAGTTGGTGATGGAAGAGAGGAAGATAATGGTGGTGGAAGAAGAGCAGAAGGTGGCGGAAGGGGTAGAACCGGAGTAGGTGGAGTTAGTATTGGAATCGGAGAAGGCGTTGCTGATGGTGTTGGGGGTGTGAGCACAGGAGTGGGTGGAGGTAGGATCGGAACCGGAGAAGGCGTTGCTGATGGTGTTGGTGGTGTGAGCACAGGAGTGGGTGGAGGTAGGATCGGAACTGGAGAAGGCGTTGCTGATGGTGTTGGTGGTGTGAGCACCGGAGTGGGTGGAGGTAGGATCGGAACTGGAGAAGGCGTTGCTGATGGTGTTGGTGGTGTGAGCACCGGAGTGGGTGGAGGTAGGATCGGAACTGGAGAAGGCGTTGCTGATGGTGTTGGTGGTGAGTGAAATGGAAATAAAGGTGTTAATGGAGGGAGTAGAATCGGTATAGGGACAAATGGGATAACCGGTGGGCAAGGTACTGGTACTGGTGCAGGTGGAGCCGGTGGTGCAGGTGCTGCGGTGCAAACAATACAAGGCTGAGGTGGAGGTGATGCCGGAGCTGTGACACAAGTAATGCAAGGCGCGGGAGGAGGAGACAATACCGGTGCTGTGACGCAAGTAATGCAAGGCACGGGAGGAGGAGGCGATGGTGGTGGCGATGGTGGAGGTGGGCAAGGAACGGGGATTGGCGCTGGTGGTGGTGATGCTTCTACACAAGTAACACACGGTGGTGACGGTGGTGGTGGGCAGGGTGTGACAACCGGGGGTGGAAGTGGTGGTGGTGAAATAGGCGGTGGTAAAGCTTGTGGGGGAGGCAGGAAAGGGTTTTGAGGACAAGGCACAATTGGGAAATTCCATTGACCGCAAGTGCCGAACACGCACCAGAAGAACACATCGCATTTAGTAGCAAAGGCTTCGCCGTTTCTACTTCGGTTTTGTCTTCTGCTTTTGACTCTTCTGTGTCTTTTTCTCACCAAACTTTTCTTGTCTTGGTCTATATGTGTCTGTGAATTAGCTATAGATTCTGTTACTGAAACACTGAGCAAAAGCAGTGTAACAAGACATAACATAACAACTCGTTTCATCACTGTTTTGTGTTTCTTTTAAATTCCTAAGACATGCAAGAACTGAACTACGTTATGGTGATATATTTATAGTAGAATCATTAACGGTCGACAATGTTTTTGATTTTTGGGAATTCTTACGTTTGTCACTGCGAAAGGAAGGCTTTAGTTTTGTAAGGATTCAATGAATATTGTAGGTAATAAAGGAGAATATTTATGTGGTTACACAATCCAATGCAAAGAGGCAATAAGTAAAACTGACTACTCGTAATTTAGAGCTCTGAAGTGAGTGTTAGCCAGCCCACAGCCTCAATGCTCAAAGAATATTGAAGTGAATATCGACAGAACTATGTTGTTTGTTTTGTAGACTTCTAGTAATCTTTGAAAGCATAAGATCCATTCCGGGTTAGCGTCAATGTGAAACGCATACACCATTCTAGTAAGTCCGACTTTGAGCAGCACAACAGGTTTGGTTCAATAGACCAACCAAGATCATGATGGTTGGATACTAAAACCAGTCTGTATTATCATCCAAAAGCACATTTTTGTTTTCTTCTGCACATTAGCCTCTATAGAACCGGTTTGACAATAAGTGGTCAAACAAGTCACGCCATCTGCAAGAATGGAACGTGGAGATGAAATACATTGAGTAGATAATATGAACAACAAACACATGGTAAGGAGGAGAAGTAAAAATAAATGCATGCAAATAAAGATATAACGTGGCGCTAGTGCTTTGATTCTGCTCTGCTCGAAGAAAACCGCATTGAATTAGAATTGAGTCTTCTTTTTTTTTTTTTGAACACATGAATTGAGTCTTCTTTTCGAGAATTACTAGATCCATAGTTCCCGCACTTGCGCGGGGGTTGGATACGTTATTGATGTATTGTGTAGTTTTGTGTATGAGACTTTGCTGGTTTATTTTTAACATTTGTTTATCTGGCTTATCTATAATGGTGATGAATGAAACATCAGAATTCACACAACTTGATTAGTCTGATAAAAGAATAAATATCGAATTCATATGGATTGATATTTTCATATTTTATCTTCGTAGTGATTTTATCAAGCATTCTTTTTATTAGTGATTTTATCGAGCATTACTGTTATTAGTGCTTTCATGTAAAAAAATAACTAAATGGAGACAAGACAAAAGAGGACATGTTTTTATTAGTGTAATTTTCTTTCTGAAATTATGTTGTATATATATATATTTTTTAAATTGTGATGTATATGAGATTTATGGTCGATCTGAATGGTTCGGGGTAAATATTTATTATTGAAAAATATGTTTTTATTTTATTTGATGATTATAACTGAATTGAAATGATATTGGAGGTTAGAACATGATAACATTTCTTATAAAAGTATCTAACATGGTCTCATAAAGTTTCAAATCCTTAAGCTATTTTGTATCCTAACAACCAACATAAAAAATCATTCTGAATCTCCCTAAACTTTTAGGTATCCTGAAAAGCTCAAAATTAAAAAAAAAAATTACATGCAAGCACTGCGTTTCAAACCCGCACACTCGCAGTACCAACTTCTTGTCACCAACTTACACCACTGGACCATTTCATCACTCATCGATAACATTCAATCTTACAAAATGTTATACGTTTTTGTTTTCCCTATTAACATACACGGGGCCCGCAAACTTGCTGACGTAGACACGTTGAAGAGCTTTAAAAGTGTACTATTATTATATAGATTACCTCACGCCGTTGCTTCAGCTGTTCTTCGTTATTACCTCGTTTGAAACTAGGGGTGGGCAAAAAATCCGGATCCGAAAAACCGAACTGAATCCGATCCAAAAAAGCAGTATCGAACCCAAACCGAAATTGATTCAATATCTGAATGAACTCAAACTTTTGGTATTTAAAGAATCAAAACCGAACCCGACCCAAACCAAAGTATTTTTGGTAACCGTATATATCCGAAAGAGATTTATATACTTAAATATATTAATTATTTTTAGATTTAATGTATATAAAAAACATTCAATATATATAAAATATTTTGATTCTTTTCAAAATACTTGTAAATATATGTAAATAATCAAACATTCATGTCTAAAATTGTTTAAGTACACTCAAAAAATTAAAAATACTTAAAAAAATATTGATTCACAATCCAAATATTCAAATCAAACTGATTTTATGTTAATTTTATGTATTTTAACTTAAGTTATTCAATTATTTGCAATATATTATTTTGTTTATAAAATATATAATCAATTTTAAAAGTAATTGAAATAGGTTATCCGAACCCCAACCAAACCCGCAAAGATTCGAACCGAACCCGAACAAAAATTTAGAGATATTCTAATGGGGCTAAAATTTGTGAATCCAAAATCCCAAAACCCAAATAGATTTGAACCAAAACCGAATGTGTACCCGAAACAACTACTTGACCCCACCTACATTATAAATCAAAACTTAAAAGGTCTTATTATTATCAGGCCATTATAAAGAAAAAGATGGCTTTTATGGGCCGTAAATTTAACCAAAGGAAACAAAGGCCTCTTAAAAATCTAAAGCCTATTCAACGTAATTAATATCACAGTTAGGGCAGTTAAGATATCTCCCAAGTGCACGGATAAACATTATTCCGACACAGAAACAGAACAAAAACATGAACTACTTACTGGGAAAAGCTTAAAAGTCACCAGAAGATTTAACATTCGATCGAATCTAAAAAAAAAGAATCAAATTGAGTTCTTCTTCAGTCTCTCAACGATGTATCTGTCTCAACCCTCATCACCAGTTCCCAACGCTTCCTCTATGGTAAGATATTCCGATTTTGGTATATAAATTTCCCGGTTTAAATCTTCAAAATTGGACAAGAAAAGAATCACCTTTTGGTGTTTTCGTTTGTAATTTGTTTTTAAACAAAGTATTGGAATGTGAAGAAGGAGGAAAAACCCTAACTCTAACTTGAGTTCTTCTTTTGAGCTAATTAAGTAATTTTTTGCGGTTTATCTATTTTTTGTTTTGTTTAATTGGTAGACACCAAAGCCGAGGATGATGATACAGAAATGCGAAAATGGATATAAGATGAGGAAGCTTAATGATGATGAGGAAGACAATGAATCCTTACAGATGGAGTCAAACATCACACATGCAGAGGCGAATAAGCTTCTTGTAGTTTCTGAACCAGAAGCAGCAGCTTTGGTGCCTCATGCAACTAAGCCTGAAACTGAAGGTAATGTTTTTTTCTTTCATATTTTTAAATTATCTGCGGTTTTGTAATTAAGCTATAAGGTCTTGCTTTTTTTCTTCGTTTTTTTCTATAAAGATACTGAGTTTAGGGTTTTTTAAGCATTAAAATTTGTTTTTTTTTTTGGAGGGAGAACTTCTGTATTGAATTAAAAGCTAAACGTTGTAAGATTATCACTCACGTTTTTGAGCTATGATGATTCATGTTGTTTATTGACCTTTTGTTTTGTTATTCACAACGCATGTGTTAATAAGAAGATGCTCAGAAAGTGTGTGCCAAAGAACAATTGTATAAGCTATGTGGTGTGAGGCATTGGAAAGCACCATTGTATAAATTCACCAACGAAGACGATACTAAATTGTAAGGGAGATATGGTTTCTGCACACTCTCTCTCGCTTACATTTTTTGTCCTTTTTTCAGATTAAAATCTTCTAGCATCAACATGGCTTTTTTGTTTTTGTTCAGATTTAGAGTCGAAGTCAATGTTGAAATCAAGGAAGTTTCTGGGATAACGGTTCTGGAGTGTTTTGGTGATCCACACCACAAGAAGAAAATCGCAGCTGAGCAGGCAGCAGAAGTAGCGCTTTGGTTTCTCAAGAATGTGGGTCATACCCTTCAAACTGACAAAGCTTCTGGTCGTGAGGGTGGACAAAAAAGGCTTTAGAAACTGTTAACATGACTTAAGTAGTCTAGTTTTTGTTCATGTTAATTTGGCTTCAGCTGGTTAACATTTAATAGAAGCTCTATCTAGGGAGCTCAAACGGGTAAAACATGCTCACCTCGTATGAGAGACTGTTGTTTTCTATCAAAGTTTGTGTACACGTATCATCTTTTCTGTAACATTAGTAGTAAGTGAACTATAAAGTATGGTTTATCTGGAAACATGTGGCAGGTGGAAGCATGAATTTTAGTCATCTTAGCAGCATCTATATTATGATTTTTGTAATTTTTATGTACCTCTGCGCTTCTCATAACCAAAACCTACTATTAAGAAAAAAACGTTTCAAGCAATAGCATCAGTATAGTACTAATCTTCTTTGATGATGGACACCAACCCTTCCCCCAATTCAACCAATCTTTTACCAAACATTGAACCTAGTTAAGCTTTACTGTTAATCACTTGTGATTGAGTGAGAAGTTATTGTTATTTAAACAGTGATTAATGAAAGAGCATTTGAAATGTTTTAGCCTCATTGATCAAACAAAGTGACAAGGGCTGAACAGGTGACAACAAGACCTCTAGCAAAGGCTGCTGTGTTCCATCATCTTTATAATCAGTAACACAAAACCTTATGGGATATGAATCCATATAAAGACGAAACATAAACATGTGTAGTACATAGTTGATTGTTACTTGACAACAAAAATTGAATTAGTATCTCTAACCAAGTGGGAAAATTAAAAAAAAATAAAAAAATAAATGTTATGATTGCGTATATGTTAATACATACGAATAAAAAGTTGTATAATATAAGAGGAAATCAATCGTCTCTTGTCTCGTCCAATCAGGTGCCTTCGTCGTCTCAGCTCTGCGTTCGTGGTGCATCTTCTCTCTACTCTTTCCTCTTCTGGGATTTTTCCTTTTGTTGATTTTATTTATTTATTTTTGCGTATATAATAACTTGTTTCTCTGTGTCTCAACAGATGCGTCGTTCTGCTGCATCGAAGAAGAAATCGGATTCAATCACATCTTCCACCACGGATCTCTTTCGCTCAGGTAATCTTTTCTTCTCCCCGATCATTGAATCCAAACATCGTCCTAGGGTTTATGTATACTTGTGCTTGATTTTCTTAGGTCGGATTTTGAGAATTGGATTAGAATAGCTTTGCTAGGGTTTGATGAATTTAATTATATGGATAATCATAGAGATTTTTGAATATAACTGATAATCAAGAGAATTTTGAATGAAAATTGTTGTACATATTTATTGTTTGGTATAGAGGTTTCTGCTGTGTTAAGACTTTTGATTAAATAAAATGGGTTCAGCTTCGAGTAAGGCGACGACTAAAGAGATGGATCGAATTGATCATTTGTTTCATCAGTATGCTAATACTTCTTCCAACCTCATTGAGTAAGTCTTTTCATTCTTCTCAAGCTCGGTTTCTTCCTGGTTGTTAGTTCCATTTTGAGTGTAAAAGTTAGTTCAAGTGATCACTTATATCCATTCTCTTCCCGCTCTAACATTTATTTGTTTATGATCTTAGCTTCTCTCTCTAACATGTTTGGCTATTATTACCTGAACAGCCCTGAAGGCATAGAAGAACTGTGCTCCAATTTGGAAGTGCCTCATACTGATATCAGAATCTTGATGCTTGCTTGGTATCTTTTTATCATCCCATCAGAATTGTTCTCTGTGATATCTGCTACTTTTTTTTTTATTCTTCTTTTAGCACAATTTCATATTCTTTTTATTGCAGGAAAATGAAAGCTGAAAAACAAGGCTACTTTACACAGGTAAGATCAGCTATAGATCCTTCTCACCTTTGATACTCGAATCAGGTTTGGTACGATGCCTTTTTTGTCTGATGTTAGCTAACTGTGTACATCTGTAGGAGGAGTGGAGAAGAGGTCTTAAGGCTCTAAGAGCTGATACACTCAATAAGCTTAAGAAAGCCCTTCCCGAGCTTGAGAAAGAGGTTCAAAGTTTTATGATTTGGTCGATATCTTCTTGAGCGACTGAATCATGCTAATCTTTTCATCCTGTGTTTTTTCTTAAATCTCTTTAAAGGTCAGGAGGCAATCAAATTTTGCAGATTTCTATGCATATGCCTTCCGCTATTGCTTAACAGGTATAATATTAAACTTCAGCTTCTGCATTAGATATTTGTATTTCACATGTTTGTTTACTGTTAATGCAGAGGAAAAGCAGAAGAGCATAGACATAGAGACTATATGTCAACTCCTGGAGATTGTCATGGGATCTACATTCCGTGCCCAGGTTGACTACTTTGTCGAGTATTTAAAGGTCTGCATCACTTAAATATCTCATCTTCTTTTCATGTCAAGAATATTTTTCTCAGCAATCTTATAATCCCATGATTGGTTTTGTATGTCTGAAAAACAGATCCAAAACGACTACAAAGTCATAAACATGGATCAGTGGATGGGCTTTTACAGGTTCTGCAATGAGGTATGTTTTTTACTAATTCATTTACTTCCCTGCTTTGTTCGCTATTTGATTAACTAAGTAAAGAAATTAACAGATAAGTTTCCCGGAGATGACGGAATACAATCCAGAGCTTGCATGGCCATTGGTTCTCGACAATTTTGTTGAGTGGATTCGTGAAAAACAAGCCTGAATGCTTTACCCTGTATACGGGTTTGGTGTTTGCAGGATCGTTGGTCTCTCAACAAACAGATTCAGCAGAATTTATTATCAGTTTCTTCATCCTTCAGAACATTGTTTTTTAAAAAAGAACACATTATATGATTTTTGTTACATGTGATTAACTTCAATAGAGGGGAACACACTATGTTTGAAATACTATACTCTATATCCAGTTCTATTAGTAACCAACCACTGCTGAATTGGTTCAAGCAGAGACTTTTCTTTAAAAAAAAGGAAGCAGACTGCAGACCATTTATAACCATCAGATTCGTTTTACAACGGACGGTGTAGATTACATTAATATAATATTAAGAAATAAACTGATGTTCTCTTAAACCCTAAGAGCACCTTTAACCCATGTTGCTTAGAGAGTTGTTTAGGGGGAGAGGGGTGCTTATTTTGAAGAGAGAGAGAGTGTAAACAACTCTCAACAAGGGTTAAAGATGCTCTAAAGGAGAAGACTGGAACTTTGCTTCTGCTACTACTGTCTTCTTCTTCCATCTCTGTCAATGTCTCGCCTTGTCAGATGTCTGAGAAGAAGAGTGATATCTACCAACTTATCACCTTCGTTTTCCTACAGAAACCCTAGAGTATGTCTTCAGCCAATTCAAAACCCTTGTTTCTTAACTATCTCTAAGTTTCTAAGCTCTGGAAGTTATGTGTCGGAAATGAGGAAGTCGGCGTTCGAGGGTAACATTCTCCGATTAATCCGTTCTGAGATTCAGTCCGAGCTCGACCACTCTCCTCCTCTTCAGGTATTCTTGTAACTGTTTCAAGTCCACCTATGTTGTTTGTTAGTACGAAAAGTTGGAACTTTTCGAAACTGGTTCTTGTCTCTGTCTGAATGATCTGTCGTTTGCATAATCGCAGCCTGAGGAGAGGTTTGGTCCATTCACGGTGGATGAGCGGCCAGGAGAGCAGTGGATTAGCTTGAGAAGAAAATATGGGGACAAGGAAGATATTAAGATCGAAGCTACCATGTTTGATGGATCAGTGCCATCATCAAAGTCTGCAAGCAGTGACCCTGAAGATGTTCAGCTTCACATTACCTTCGTTGTCAACATCTCTAAGGTCGGTGATGGTCAGACCTTAGAGATCATGTGTTCTGCTTGGCCTGATACTATACAGATCTCAAAGTTCTTTGTTCGTAAAAGTAGCAAGAACTCACCAAATGCCTATGTTGGACCAGAATTCGAGTACACTGATCTTATCTTCTTTAATACATAAAGTTTTCTTCATTTTCTTCAGTTTCTGTTACAATTTATTTAAACTTTGCCTTTGATTGATAAACAGGGAGATGGAAGATGAACTTCAAGACTCGGTTTATCAATTTTTGGAGGAAAGAGGCATAAGTGATGATCTTGCTGTGTTCTTGCATCAGTACATGAAGAACAAAGATAAAGCCGAGTATATTCGATGGATGGAGACTGTTAAATCTTATGTTGAGCAAAAATAATTTTCTTCTCCATACCACATTCTCAAGCATCACATGAATGTGTGCCCTGTATTGAACTATTGATACTTAAATTATATATGATTAAATTTCTATCATTAGTGTCAGATTTATTTTCATATACTCGTATTGTCCTCATGATTAAACATACTACGGAGGTAAAAAACATTATAAGATGAGAGAAACAGACGGTTGAATAAGCTAAACTGGAAAGTAGGTATGAAGTATGCTGTACACTTGCACAAAATATTTATATTGATCTTAAGATACTTTACTAGAACACTGATGATCACATAACAAATCAAACATAATGGGAAAACCAGACGTGGCCCAACAGAGAGATGAACTTCTACTTCGTTAGCCAGTAGATGAGTATGAGAAATGTGCATATAGCCGCAACGAGTGAAAGAATGATTGTATCCATCGACTTTTTCCTCTTTATCGCTGACAGAATTGTGTTCACCTGCAGTGGATTTAACCTTAGTATTGCAGAGTTAAAGATGCTACTCGCCAACAATGGGACATAGCCAAACAAAACGAAAGCAAAGAGCAAAGAAAGGTCTTTGTACCGTGGGTAGACGGCTGGTGACATTGCTAAGCTTAGAGTTGATGCCCCCAAAAGTTGAACGCTGAAACACGAGTGTACCAAGCGTTGCCTGAGCTTGTGAAATGACACCATCCATCTGCTCCGTTTAAATAATAATTCAGTTGTAATTAACCTGTAGAGTCTTAACAGTAATAATAACTGGCGTAGGGTGTTATCAACCTGCGCTGTATTGCGGTTGATTCCCACATGTTCTTTGAGCAGGGCTTGCTCTGTAGACCCACCCCCTTCTTCTAAATCTAACCTAGTCCGATCAAATTCTCTAAAGTCCTCAAGAAGTGAAGCATGCTCTTGTTTTGCTTTAAGACTAGAGCGGTGTCGATAAAACTCCTGCATTTTTTTTGAATAAGTACTCATAAATACACAAGAACAAAGACAAATTCAAAATTACAACAAAGGTTGAGTCATAAGCTAGTCCAAAAAGACGATTGTAATTTGAAAACTTATTATTGAAAAGAACATTTCATTCAATGGATAATACCTGTGTGAGATCTTGAAGAATCTCCTGATGCCGAGTTAAAGTATGTGAAACCATTTCAGAACCACCAGAAGAAACCCAAGCTTGCATCTGAGCATTAACTTGCTGAAGTTGCCTAAGAAGTAAATCAATCCCAGCTTCAAGATCACTCACTCCACCATCTGATTTTGTTAAAGCCTTATTAGTGGAAACAAGTCTGCGATATGAATGCATCTGCTCGTCAAGCTGAGCTTCAATCTTTCTAGCCTGTCCAAAAATCCAAAAAATGCAGACAAGAACAAAAGCATCTTCATTTAAGTATCTTAACATTACAAAGTTAGATACAATATAAAGATTAAAAACATGTTCGAGAATGAGCCAACAAATTCCCCAACTGGATTCCTAGTTCTGTCCTAAAGAATTACCCAGCAGCTTCAAATCAAAACACACAAGAGTTGACAGAAAATTACCTGTTTACGTAAAGCATCCCAAGAGCTAGGAACGTCCATGGTGAATCAGTCAAAATCTCTCCTTTTTCGAATATGTATCGTCTCTTTTCCGGCAAGCAACGTTCAGATACAAATCTGATGCGAAAATTCTCTCCAGATCAAAGTAACTAAACAGAGATCAGATCGAGAGAAGAAGAAGAGAGTTGGGTTCGGAGACGCAGACAGAGGTTTCTGCGTGCCCCTTCAATGGCAATTTGGTTCCTTTTTGCGTAATCAACTTAATTAATTCGAGAATGACGATGAATATTGACGCTGTTATCCTGTGTTTCTCACCCCACCGTAAGGTTTTATAGACGCTAGAAAGTTGACTCATACGTGCTAGTCAAACTTACTGTTGACACATGATTCCTTAGCCTTCACAGTTTATAGGTCTTTGGGCCCATGTATTAGGCCCATTAAGGCCTTCGAGCTTAGATTATCATACACATTTTGAACAGAAATCATACACATGACTAAAACCGTCATGATGGACTTGAATCTGGAGTTCACTCTTGAGCTTGAAAGTATTGCTGGAGTGGAAACCAACAAGTGTCCAACTTTTTAAGTGAAATTGTTTCGTGCCAGAGTTTGTGTTCATCTGATTAATGAAAGAGCTACAACTCTTGGACCACTTGAATCTTTAGAAGCTTATGCCTCAGCAGTGTGCCAGCTCCGGTTGTGGTATTGAAGATTTAGAAGCTTAGACACGGTAGCTCTGGGGGAGGTCCTGAACGTTTTAAAATATGGAACTCCAAAATCTATGAGATAAAGATAGATTGTGAAAGCAAGGAAACACTTCCATGTCCAAGTTCTCCAGGCTTTCAAGCAAAGTTTCCTCTGTAGGGATTTAATGTGGCTATTGTTTGTTCAAAGTCTCTAACATCTGTCAAGTATAGTAGAGATTTTAAATAAAGAGAAAGGAATGAGTATTAGCAATACATATTCAACTTCGATACTGTTGTTCCTTTCCCAAAGCTGGAATACCTTAGAGCAAGTGATTTAAATAAAACCATTACGTATTTGCCCTGTTCTTAATCTGGTTTCTCTCTTTTATGTTCTGTTTGTGTTTCATTGACCTTGTTGTTAAGCTGCATTCATCAAATTTTTAAGAAAGACTTCAACTTCAAAGACTTGTTATTGCTGTGTGTGTTTTGTAGTCGGTCTTCTATGTTATCTCTTTTTAAATCTTCTTTCTTTAAAATTTCCACCTTTCTTCACATTTGTTAATAGGCAAAAAAAATGGAGACGACGCTATTTAATGACGATGGAGGAGACCCGTGGCTTGCTCCAGACAAATTCTACCACGTAATATTCTGCTTCACCATATCTCTCCTCTTCTCAACTCTCGCTTCTCTCTCCCGCTACTCTTTCCTACGACGTCACTCCATCTGGATCGGATCTGCCTTCTCACTCGCCGCCGGTGCGGCTAAAGAAGCTGCCGATCAGTTCGGTATCTTCCCTTCAGCAGGTGCCTCCGCTAGAGACGCCGTCGCGGACGCCGTTGGAGTTGTCGTCGCTGCTCTGCTTCTCTTCCTTTGGAAATCTCGAAGATCACGTCCGGATCCGGGTCAAACCCGACCCATCCTGCCCATTTGAATGTACTATTAATTAATTTTACCGCATTTGTTACTGTGTGTATTGATTACAGACTATTAAATGAGAATCTGAATTTTTTGGAATTACTGTCGTGAGAAAACGATGTTTTACTTTACTGTGTATTGATTATAGACAATTAATGAGATCTGAATTTTTGGAATTACGGTTTTGGGGAAAACGATGTTTTACTTTCACCGGATTCGAGATAACTTTCACCGTTTGTTCATCATCCTCGAGATTATCGGTTCTGTTAGTAACGATAAATTTCAAAAAATCGGTTCGATATTTAAAACACCGTAGCATAGTCAAACGTTATTCAAGATGGCCGAATTGGTCTAAGGCCCCAGTTTCAGGTACTGGTCCGTAAGGGCGTGGGTTCAAAGGCCCACTCCTGACATTAATTATTATGTTTTCTGCTTTTTTTTTTCTTTTTTTTTGTATTAGTTTTTTTTTCTTTTGTCTCTCTCATCATCCTTACTTGACTTTACTGTTGAGCTGATCCCTAACTTTTTCTATTGGCGCATTTGCTCATAAATCTCTCGCCGGCTTCCTCACTCCTCACTCTTCTTCTCTTCTCCTAGCTTCATCGCCGTGTTCTCTTCTCACGTAACCTCCAGGTTTCTTCTATCACCCAATGTATTTTCGTATCGTGTTTCTTCTGAGCATAGTGCTTTAACAGCTTTACTATCACTCATCTGTAGAATATTTGGACATTTCTTTATCATGCACGAGTAGATCTCGTAACAGATACTTTATAAGCTATATCAATTTCATCTCTTTCGGCTATATCCCATGTTAATTACTTTTATTTTTTTGGGTGAGGGTTTAAAGCTCAGTTCTTGCTTAGGGTTTTGTCTATTTTGGGCTGTGTCCATAATTTTCAGCAAACTGTAGCTGAAATTTTTCTAAACATGCATTTTAAGTCAAAAAAAGTAATTCAATTTCGTAGAGATTTTTCTTTATCTTGTTAGGTGAATGGACTATCTCTCACTTGTGAAAGTTCCTTTCTCAAGAAAATGTTTTTTTTTTTAATTAAGAAAATGTTTTAAATGGTGCTCTTTCAGGTAGGATGGGTGTTTCATCTGATGAAGAGTCTGAGATCAGCGAGTCAGAGATCGATGACTACTCCGAAACACCCTACTTACTTCTCCAGAACGGGAAATACAAGGTTAAGGTGAACGGGATGCTGAGATGCCCGTTTTGTTCCGGCAAGAAAAAGCAAGACTACAAGTACAAGGAGCTGATGGCACATGCCTCTGGAGTCTCCAAAGGATCTGCAAGCAGAAGTGCTAAACAGAAGGCTAACCATCTCGCCTTAGCAAAGTACTTACAGAACGAGCTCGCTGGTGATGCAGAGCCACTTCCACGCCCTCCTCCTGTTCCTCAGGTAAACGAGTCAGAGGCCAAACCTGGTGATGTTTACGTCTGGCCATGGATGGGGATTATCATTAGCCCTGTGAAAGAGGGTGAAGACAAGGAGGCTATGCTTGATTCGGCTTGTTGGTTGAAGGAGTTTTCTAGGTTCAAGCCTGTTGAAGTGCATGTCTTTTGGGTCGAACAGGGTTTGACTGTTGGGGTTGTTGCTAAGTTTAACAGTGACTGGAGTGGGTTTGCGAGCGCGACAGAGCTTGAGAAGGAGTTTGAGAGTGAAGGTTGTAGTAAAAAGGAGTGGATGGAGAAGAAGGGAGGAGATTCAGTGGCCAGAGCATATGGTTGGTGTGCACGTGCTGAAGATTATCACTCTGCAGGGCCGATTGGTGAGTATCTCTCCAGGGAGGGAAAGCTGAGAACTGTTTCAGATATTTCTCAAGAAAAGGCGCAGGATAGAAACAGTGTTCTTGAAGAGCTTTCGGATATCATTGCTATGACAAATGAAGATTTGAATAATGTTCAGTACAGTTACAACAAGACGGCGATGTCATTGCAGAGGGTCTTAGATGAGAAGAAAACCTTGCATGAAGCTTATGCAAACGGTTTGTTACTGAAAAACCAATATGACTTACTTATCATGTGTTAGCTTATGTGAGTTTTGTTTCTGTTTTATCTCCTCAGAAACGAAGAAGATGCAGCAGATGTCGATTCTCAGTATCCAGAAGATCCTTAACGATAAAGAGAGGCTAAGCAATGAACTTGAGAAGAAGATGCAGAAACTTTCTGAGTGGTCCAAAGCGTTGGACAAAAAGGAAGCGCTTACTGAACTTGAGAGACAAAAGCTTGACGAAGAGAAGAAAAAGGTAATATCCGTCCTGTTTTCAGTATCATACATAAGAAGCAATCAATATCTGAATATGTATAAATTTATGTTTTCCTAGTTACTAATAATCATTTTATGTTTTCTTGGTTTGGCAGAATGATGCTATGAACATTTCCCTCCAGCTCGCCTCCCATGAGCAGAAAAAGGCTGACGAGAGCGTTTTGAGACTTGTGGAAGAGCATAAGGTATATTTTTTTAACACAACTCAAACTGTATAACAAGTTAAACCCGGAAAGCCTTCCCTCATTTGTGTTGAGTTTTGTGTTGAGTCTAAAATTCTCCCCTTATTAAACTGCAGAGACAAAAAGAAGAGGCTTTAAGCAAGATCCTTGAGCTTGAGACGCAGCTTGACACCAAACAGACACTAGAAATGGAGATTCAAGAGCTGAAAGGCAAGTTACAAGTGATGAAGCATTTGGGGGATGATGATGACGAGGCGGTCAAGCAGAAAATGAAGGAGATGAATGATGAGCTGGAGGATAAGAAGTCTGAGTTAGAAGGGCTAGAGCAGATGAACTCAGCCTTGATGACAAAAGAACGTCAAAGCAATGATGAGATACAAGCAGCACGGAAAAAACTAATTGCGGTATATATTTCTTATGCTTTAGCCCTTTTTCTTGGGTACTGATACACTTGCATTTACAATTACGTAGCAAATTATAACAAAGCATTCCTGCAGAGTTTTTAGTTTACCGTATCTGAAAGGGCACAGACAGGATTGTTGCCAAGATTGTTTTAGGTCTGAAAGCTCTTGTTTTTCAGGGTTTGACAGGATTGTTGGGTGCCGAAACTGATATTGGGGTCAAGAGGATGGGAGAACTTGATGAGAAGCCCTTCCTGAATGTTTGCAAGAAGAGATTTTCGGAAGATGAAGCTACGGTTGAAGCTGCCACCCTTTGCTCTACATGGCAAGAGAACCTCAAGGATTCGTCATGGCAACCGTTCAAACGTGAAGGAACCGGCGACAAAGCAAAGGCATGCTCTTTCCCACGGTCTTTTCCCACTTTCTGAGTTAAATATGTTGGAGAAACCAGTTTTGAATGTTGATACTTTTATCTATATTTTGGTATAACTGTTTTGTGCGTCAGCAGTAATGGTGTTAGATGTTTATGGTTCAGGAAGTGGTAGACGAAGATGATGAGCAGCTGAAGAAGCTTAGAGGAGAGTGGGGAGAAGAGGTTCACAACGCTGTTAAAACAGCTCTGGAGGAGATGAATGAGTACAATGCCAGTGGTCGATACACCACCTCGGAACTCTGGAATTTCAAAGAAGGAAGGAAAGCAACATTGAAGGAAGTGATTAATTTCATTTCAAACGACATCAAAACTGTGAAACGCAAAAGAACCTGAAGGTATGCTCTATCTTCTTCAGTTGACACACGTCTCTCGTTAATAGAGCTTATATAGGTTATGTTCTGTTTAAACTTGCAATACACTCCATAACTTGAGAAGTGAGAACTGTATAGAAGCTTTATAAGGTTTAGAGTAAAAATTCTGTAACAAATGACAGCAGGGACATGGTCTCATTAGTTGAACTGAAGAACTTTAATCATGTTTTGGTGTGAAGAATCCAATGTTCTACTTTGGTTGCAGGATTATGGAGGTAGTAGAAGGAATGGTTAAGCTTTATGTCTACTAAATAACCAAGGTTGAGGAGCTTAAGTGATGTAAAATAATGGAGTTACTTATATATTCTCTGTAATCCACAGACTTAGCTCTTCAACTTTATCTCTGAATATTTTTCTTCGGAACAGCCAATAAGCCAATGTGTTTTTCATATTAGTAATGTTTTGTTTTTATGCTTTTCATCTCGAGTTCATTTAAGCCACCACATATTATATAGTATTTTATCAAATAAAGAAATATAGTTTTGTTATGTAGAAACATATTATTCGTATACAAGTAATTAAAATGATAAAGTTTGGTTATCGTTTTTGAGCATACACTGTATATATATTAGAATAAACAAGTATGTGGGGCTGGTGAGGCTTAAATTAATTTTGGCCTATAGTGTTTTGATAGGTTTCTTCTTGGTAAAGAAATGAGAGCCCTAAGAACTAATTAATCCTACGATCAATTTTGGTGTTGGAAACAAGAAAATTAGTGGCGAAGACAAAACCAAATAAATTCAGAGGAAACGTAGGAAAAAAAAACCTGAAAAGGTAAAAATCGATTTATTATTATTTTACCAAAGAGTCAAGAAAACTCGATTTATATTTAATACCCTTCTCCCTTTCTTCTCCCAATTTCCCGCTTCTTCTATAAACCACCATCACATCCTCTGAAGCCCTAACCTGGAGATTCGCCGCTTTCTCCAGACAAAAAAAAAAGATCTAATCTATTCACCTTCTTCCCTTTGAATCCAGGTTCGATCCCCCGCCTCCGTCTTTCTATATTCATCATCCATTTATATTCCTCTGTTCTCATTTTCGTTTTCGTTGAATCTTTTTTCAAGATTTGATTGTTTCACAACGTTTGAATTTTTGATCTGCAGATACTGATTCAAACCAGATCGGATCTTCCTCTAGATCCGTTCTAGGTTTCACCACCATGTCGCACCTCACGAAACAACACGAAGACGAAGCGATCGAAATCCGCAACGTATGGAACGAGAATCTTGACCACGAGATGTCTCTAATCTCACTCGCCATCAACTATTACCCTTACGTGGCGATGGACACAGAGTTCCCAGGAACCGTGTGCAAGATAGTAACCACAAACACAAACACAAACCCTAACCCTAACCCTAACCCTAGACGCCACCGTGACGATCACTCCACCTGCTACGAATCTTTAAAAACCAACGTCAACATGCTCAACATCATCCAGCTCGGTCTCACCTTATCCGACGCCCAAGGAAACCTCCCAAACCTCGGAACCAACAACAAACCATGCGTCTGGCAATTCAACTTCAGAGAGTTCAACCTCAGAACCGACATCTACGCGCCGGACTCCATCGCCCTTCTCCACCGATCAGGCATCGACTTCGCTCTAAACAACCAATTCGGAGTAGAGTCGAAACGGTTCGCTGAGCTTCTTACCGTATCGGGACTTGTTCTCAACGATGAGATACAGTGGGTGACTTTCCATTGCGGGTATGATTTCGGGTACTTGTTGAAGCTTCTCACGGGTAAGAATCTGCCGGAGGAGAAATCAGAGTTTTTGTATCTGGTGAAGATGTTTTTTCCGAGAGTGTTTGATGTTAAGCATATGATTGGTTTTTGTTATGATCTGTTTGGCGGGTTGAGTTCCGTGGCGGAGAGGCTTGAGGTGGAGAGAGTTGGGGTTTCGCATCAGGCCGGGTCGGATAGTTTGCTGACGTGGCGTGTGTTTAGGAAGATGAAGGAGACGCGGTTCGCTGGTCGTTGTTTGGATGAATATTGTGGTGTTTTGTATGGATTAGGAAATGTTAATAATACTCCTTGCTGATTACAACAGATTACAAATAATTTAAAACAGTTTTTATGGGCTTCTTGTTTTTTTGGTTATTTTGTTTTACATTTTTTAGATGGTTTACGAAACAAGATTCATACAAAAAAAAAATCACAATAAAGGCCCATGATTGGCCCATTAAAAGGCCGGTTATTCATGGATCCATTAGGGTTTTAGTAGAAGTTAAAAAAGTTCCATATAAATTGGTCACAATTTTCTTCTCTCAGTTCTTTCTGCTGCAGCCGTATTCGTCTTTGAGGTTAGTCTCTTTTTTCAGTTCATCAAACACTGTACGATCTGATTTATCTCTCACGATTGTAATCTGGTCCTAAATATGTTCTGCCTGGGCAGCTTTTTATGTAGTAATAGTTTCCTTCATAGTGTTTTGTTTCACTTGATTGTCTGAGACTGAGTGTGCTTTGGTTTAAATTGGCAGATAACAAGGACTTCTGTTTATTTTCCGGTCGTTAGAGAACATTTCAAAGAGACAACATGTCAGGGTAAGCTTCTCTTACGTTGTGATTATGTTGCATTGTTAGTGATTACTAGCAAGCCTCTGTGATTATTAATGCGACTCATTTTAACTGTTTTAATCAAATCTCTGGTTTATTTAGTTTAATCTTGATCATATACAATGGAGCGTTACATTCTTATTGATGATAATGTAAGGTTATGTTAAGTTATGATATGAATGATTTTGATTGTGTTGATCCTTTCAGTGATGAGGCTGCTGCTCCAGTTGTTGTTCCTCCAGTTGCTGAGGCAGCGGTTATCCCAGAGGACATGGACTTGTTGACTGCATTGGAGTTGACTCTTAGGAAAGCTCGTGCTCACGGGGGTGTTGTTCGTGGACTCCATGAGAGCGCTAAGCTTATTGAGAAGCGTGTGGCTCAGCTTTGTGTGTTGGCTGAAGACTGCAACCAACCTGATTACGTCAAGCTTGTTAAGGCTCTATGCGCTGATCACAGCATCAACTTGCTTACAGTTCCAAGTGCCAAGACACTCGGTGAATGGGCTGGTGTAAGTCCTTGAGCTTGTTAATCTCCATGTACATACCTGATTAGCACCTAGCTTTTGTTCTGAATGAGTGAATGATTTGGTTAAAATAATGAATCTTTTATGTTTTGTTACAGCTCTGTAAGATTGACTCTGAGGGTAATGCCAGGAAGGTTGTTGGATGCTCCTGCCTTGTAGTCAAGGTATTGTCTTTACTCAATTTATGTGAGTGAGAAATATATTTTCTTGTATCTGGTCACTTACTTAATGCGTCTCTGTGTGTGTTTGTGTTGTTTCAGGACTACGGTGAGGATACAACTGCACTCAATATCGTCAAGAAGCACATTGAATCTAACTAAGTTTATGGAGCATTTCGAATCTCCAGTTTCAAAATGTTTTTCCATCTCAATGCTGTTTTATCTTGGTTTTGATATTTAATATTTTAGCAGACAGCTCTCGAGATTTGTTTGAAACATGATCAAGTTTTGCTGTTATGTTAGCTCTATACTCTTTCCATGGTCCCATTTTGCTTGCTTGAGATGTTCATAGCCCACTATTTATTTTCATAAAATGATAAAAAAATTTCAGGCTAATCTTAATCTAGTTTGATATAAATTACAACAGAATGAAACTGTGCCTACTTACTTTTGATTATAAACAAAATACTTGATCATTGTGTTAGGTTAGTTTCCGAAATCGTTAAATATCCATCTGTTCACTTAGCCTACGAATTTTATTATCAGTATTCAATACTAAAACACATTCAAATGTTCAATATTTTGTAAGTGAAAGTTGAGAAAAAGGGCGGGAAGTGACGAGTACGAGCTTTAGCGACAATTAACAGCTCATTATAGACTTAAACGTCTGTTCTTAACTCTTGATGAGAGTTAATTATCTCTCTCTCTCTATATAGCACCTTTTGCAGGTTCAACACCGCTACTATAAAAAGACGCATCAAACTGGTAAAGTTTCCTCTTAACGATTTTGGTTGGATTTGAGGCGGCAAGAACAGCGGTTCTTTTTTCCACCCGGTCGGGGAATCATCATTAGATGTTGTCAGAAGAAGAAAAGGTGGGCCCTCTGGTCAAAAAGACCGAACTTTCGGAAGCACTTGTCAGTGCTGGAAAAAATCTCCTCAAGCCTCATTTATCTACTAAAGCGCTTCTCCATCTTCTCAATGTACGAAATCATTCTCTTACAAATGTTGAAACTCCTCTGTTGGGATTAGGATACAGGAAACGATTAGGGTTTATCATTGCTTTCCGATCCTATAAAAAAGTTAAGACTTTTTGCTTTATAAATTTGTTCAATGTTTTAAAGGTGAATCCTTTTAGTGTTCTGTTGCACTCAAATCCCTAGAACAAACTTCTCTATGCGTTTTATGAATGTTCAATCATCTGATCTCGACGCTTCACTATGTGCAGGAAGCAGAGGCTCATCTCTCCAAGCTCGTGCAAGATCCTATTGTAGCAGTGCAAAATGCCCTGAGACCATTGATGAAGGCTTTGGTATCTGCTCATCTCTTAAGAAACCGTGATTCTGATGTTAGGGTTTATGTTGTCTCCTGCTTGACTGAAATCATGAGGATAACTGCCCCCGAGGCCCCATATAACGATGACCAAATGAAGGTTTGATTATTCCAGTAAACACTCTTCTCTTCTTTCTGTTAAATTTTTCTTCGCTCACACATGACATTTTACTTTTGCTTCACTGGCTTTACAGGAGATCTTCAAGGTGATAGTAAGAGCCTTTGGAAAATTAGCTGATACTACCTGTCATACTTATGAGAAAGCAGTCACGGTGCTTGATACTGTTTCTAGGGTCAGATTATCCTTGGTGATGCTGGACTTGGAGTGTGATGACCTTATTTTAAAGATGTTTCGCCAGTTCTTGAAAGTCATAAGGTATATAAATTGAGTTAACAAATGCTCCATTAACTCTTATATTCTCTGCTTTATGAAAGTCACAACGCTGATGACTTTTCTTTTGTGAATCTGTTAAAGACCGGATCATCCTGAATCGGTACTTCTTTCAATGGAAGCGATAATGGTGACAGTTATCCATGGAAGTGAAGAAGTGCCCATGGATTTGCTCGAGATTCTCTTGTCTGCTGTCAAAAGAGAAAGCCAGGTGAGGTTTTTCTCAGTTCTTATTTTATGTCTCCAAAGCTTTTCAGTAGACATGAGAGTTTGATTTCTTTTTTTCTGGTCACCATGGAGTAGGTTGTCTCACCAATGGCTTCGTGGCTTGTGGAGAAGGTTATCATTAGTTGCGCTTGTAAGCTTCAACCGTGCATCATGGACGCTTTGAAGTCAACAGGGACTAGCTTGGATATGTATTCTCCTGTAGTTTTGGCGACATGCCAAGGCGAAGCTGAAACATACATTGTTGTTAAGCCCAAACAAGTTGAGGTATCCTTAATGCCTTGAGCTCTTTGTTTAATTGTTTATACAGTAGTTTTGTGGTTGAATCTTGAATATACATATTTGGTAGGACTGTTTAGCCCCTTTTCACATTGTTTGTTGCTTAACCAATATCTTCAAAAATCATTTGATGTAGGGAAAACTTGATTTTAGGCTTTCTCACAAGGGGGATATGTCCAAGAGTATTGCAAGATGTGGAACACAAGCCCATGGAGATGAAAAAGTAAGAGGTGGGGACGATTTGAAACAACTTTTGAATCAAGTACAGTCTGAAAATAGTGCAGAGACAGAATCAGGGTCAACAAGGAGGAGACGGCGGAAAATCAATTCCCTGATGAGTCCTGAGGGAGGCTATTCATTTAAGACTTTGTCAAGCAAGAAGGTGCAGGAAAAAGAATTTGGTGATTCATCACTTGGAAAGCTGGCTGCCAAGAAAGCATATTTTCCTAGTAAAGTTGCTCTAACGAATCAGTCTGTTGTTTCTTCTCTCACACCCTCTAGTAAGGATATGAAGGGGTCACGTAAGCGAAGTCGGAGTAAGGTTGAAGGTTGTTTACCTACACTACCATCAAAGAAACAGACTGTGAAGAAAGAGAATCCTGAAGAAGAAGATTATATGGAATCTGACCTTAAGAAGCTTGAAAATAGCATTAAGACTACCAAGTCAAGTAAAAAGGAGAGAGCACAGAATGGTTCAGCGAAAGCGTTTGCAAAGAAGCCACTTGCAGAATCTAAGAGGGTAGAGACCAGTGGAAAAAAATCAGCTCACTCAGAATCAAAAGGTGCAAGCATGGATCCGCATATTCGTCACTCATCAAAGAGCAAGGTAGCAAATTTGATGAACTAATGATTTTTCTTGTCGAAATATTATACTCTAGAACTACCTTCTTTCTTGAACTTATAATTGGATAAACTGTCTAGAAGAAGATTTCTCATGCAACAACGCCCTCGACCAAAGAATCTGGACAAACTGCCAAAGGCCATCCCAAGAGGAAACGAGCAGCTGGAGAGGAAGTGGTGTGAAGATTTTGCCTTTCTCTGTCTATGGTATGAAGCTTTGATGTGTCTCGTGTTTTCATATGGTCTATATTCCTATTTGCAGGAGTCACACAAGAGTGAGCTTGGTGAGGAATTGGTTGGTTTGAGAATGAAAGTCTGGTGGCCACTCGACAAGAAGTAAGTTTATTGTGAAACATGCTAACTTCGTTTTGGATACTGTGGTGAATGGAGGAGCAGTCTTACCATTGAGATTTACACAGGTTTTATGAAGGCGTCATAAAGTCTTATTGTAGTCGTAAGAAGAGGCACGAAGTGAGTTAACTTCGCTAACTACTGATTCGAAATTCTCACTTTGTTGCATAATTGATTCATCTAGAATTTATCCTTATTCATGTGGAATTTATCCTACTGCTGCTCGTTGCAGGTATCTTATACTGATGGGGATGTTGAAAACCTTGATCTCAACAAAGAACGTTGGGAGATAATTCAGAATAGTGATGTGAGTTTTTTGTTACATTGTGCTCCTCTTTATTCATTCACCAATTTTTATTTATCTTTTACATATTAATATCTAATTGATAAGTGTACTATCTTTCCAAAATGCTAAGCAGGAAAAGGAGATTGATCTACCTGATTCTACTCTTTTATCTGAGATGTAAGTGAAATGTTCATGGTTCTGAACCACTCACAGTTTTTAACTTGGCACCTATTTACTCTTTGAGGTTTTGCTTTTATATGCAGAAGGCGAAGGGAGAGAGCAAAGAAGAGCAAACATGTGTCTAAGAATGTGGAACTGAGCACTTCTGCAAACGTCAGGTGTGAAAATTTTCAGTAATTCTAGTTATTGTCATAGAAGGTTTGATCCTTGAATACATTCTCTTTACATTTGGTTATAGATCCTCGAAGAAGAAAGACCATGTATCAAACTCCACTAAGCAAGAGAAAAGAACCAAAGGTTTGCTGAAGTGCGTAAGCAATGAACCAGAAAGCAGAGAAGATCAAAATCTTAAATCCTCAAAAGAGCCGGATGCTGAAACTCGCAGAACGAAAGGGAGGGTTGAGAAATGGCGGAGGGTGACTCGATCTATGCACCGGGAAAGTGAAAAAGATTCAAATGCGGAGCCTGAATGTAGGAGAGGTCACCAAGAACTACCTGACGATTCAAATGCTGAAACCAAAGCTGATGGAGCAGAGCACAAAGAGCCAGCTGCCGATACCAAAGCTGTTGGAGAAGAGAGAGACTATGTGAAAGAGCCACCTGCAGACACCAAAGTGATTGAGGAGGATATGTGTGAGGAGAGTCATAGAGACGTATACACAAGCGTGCCTGAGACTGGTAAGGTGGAAAACGAAGTTGATCAGAAAGTAGTGAAGGAACTGATAAAGCAAGTCGGTAGTGTTCGTGTTTTAGTTTGATCCATGAATCAGATATGGTTAGATGATGTTAATTCAGGAAAAGTAGGGGTTATTGTGGTTTAGGTAACTGACACGTTTAGTAAAGCTGCTTCTTTATAGACTTATGGTTGTTATTGTTTCGTTACTTTGGTAGAGTCTTCTGACGTATGTATTATCATGGAACTAGTTTGATCTGATGTCACCTATGACCTAAAACTAGTATCAAAAAGAAAAAAAAAATATATATATATATTTAAGACATTAATATTTGCTATCAAGCACAAACAGTGATAGCTTTAAAACTGCAGAGAAGAGTGTCTGAATCTGAAACCAAACATGTATCATTGAAGGAGTTGACAAGTAAACTGTAAACATAACACTTACGACTTGTCTTTTCCATCTATATATCCACATGCTTGTAAAAACATATTCTTCTATAACTATTGTGTATTTGTAACATATCCAGTATAGTGATACAAGAAATCATTAGAAAAGCTATAAATTTATTTTATTTCCGCATATACATACATCATTCAGATTCCAGAAGATGTATGTCCTCATCAAGAATTATTGGCAGATATATTACCTAGCGTGAATTGATTGTAGGTAAGTAAAATGATTGTAGGTATACATTTCAAAGATTTGTCCAAGTTAATGAGTTTTTTTTTTCCTTAAAGGTGTATTGTTCCAAATAATTCTTCTTCCACCACCAACCCCTCTTTCTATAAAATTATTATTTAAATAACAATTTGTGTGGATAAATTTTATATAATAATTTTGTTAGTATAAGAATAATAAAATATAAATTGTGTAGACCATACTCATTACATGGTTAGGTGAACTTTGACAAGTGTTGAATCATAAGGATAAAGCTTCCTTCTCGGTCTATCTTAGTATATATATATACAAAACGTAACTCACCTTGTAACGACACAATAATTAAAATTCTGCTTCAAAAGTTGAAGGAAAAAAAATGCCAGTCGACGAATCCTCACCGGCGGGAAAAACCGTTTGCGTTACCGGAGCTGGTGGATACATCGCTTCTTGGATTGTTAAGTCACTCCTTGAGAGAGGCTACACTGTTAAAGGAACCGTACGGAATCCAGGTCCAGTATTATTTATTATATACTGTTACACAATTTTTTTATATTTGGTTTGTGTTAATTTATTGATTGGTGTTTATTATAATGGTTTTATGCAGATGATCCAAAGAATACACATTTGAGAGAACTCGAAGGAGCCAAGGAGAGACTGATTCTGTGCAAAGCAGATCTTCAGGACTACGAAGCTCTTAAAGCTGCGATTGATGGTTGCGACGGTGTCTTTCACACGGCTTCTCCGGTCACTGACGATCCCGTGAGTATTTTTTTTTTCTGAGTGTTTTTTTTTTCTTTTTTTTTTCTAGCACTTTCTGTGGCTTGTAAGAAAAATGAACAAAGTTGGGGTCCTACATGAGATAATCGAGTGTCTGTGTATTGGTATCAAATCGCTTTCAGTTACCAAAATTATTTTGATGTTTTAGCTGAATTATCGCATGAAATAATTTAAAAAATCTTTTGAATTATAGTATCCACTGAATGGTTTGGTAAAGTATTATTTAATTTCAAGACGTTGAAATACCTGAGAAAATCACTATCCCATTTTTCTTGTAATGAATTTATTACATTTGACCTACAAGAATGTGGTTAGATATTATATTTTTCTGGAAAGGGCAAATCAGTGTATTCATATTATTATTATGTCAAATGGGGTATTAATTAATTGATATCATTTTAAAACGTATGATACATTTTCAGGAGCAAATGGTGGAGCCGGCCGTGAACGGAGCCAAGTTCGTAATCAATGCTGCAGCTGAAACCAAGGTCAAGCGCGTGGTCATCACCTCCTCAATTGGTGCAGTCTACATGGACCCGAACCGTGACCCTGAAGCCGTCGTTGACGAAAGTTGTTGGAGTGATCTTGAGTTCTGCAAAAATACAAAGGTCTCTTGACTTTTAATACTTGCATGTACTAATTAATATTTTTTATTTTTTTATACTAGTTAATATTTAGTGTACACAAATACTACTAGTTTATCTTTTATGTTTGGTCTATTGAAATATTTTGTGTTATGTAGAATTGGTATTGTTACGGTAAGATGGTGGCGGAGCAAGCCGCGTGGGAGACGGCGAAGGAGAAAGGTGTTGACCTGGTGGTTTTGAATCCGGTGCTAGTTCTTGGACCACCGTTACAGCCAACGATCAACGCTAGTCTTTTCCATGTTCTCAAGTATCTAACCGGTTCGGCTAAGACATACGCTAATTTGACTCAGGCTTATGTGGATGTTCGCGATGTCGCGCTGGCTCATGTACTGGTCTACGAGGCACCCTCGGCCTCTGGACGTTATCTCCTCGCGGAGAGCGCGCTTCACCGCGGCGAAGTTGTTGAGATTCTGGCTAAGTTATTCCCAGAGTACCCGCTTCCGACCAAGTAAGTGAAACTTATGCCACCTAGTATTTAGTACATAACTAGAGTTAGTATAAAGAAACTAGAGTTAGTATAAAGAACCAAAAACAACATTTAAAAAAAAAGATATTTAGTTAACGATTTAGAATAACAAAAGAACACATTTAAGACGTTATTTTAATCAAACTAAATGTAAAATTATGTGATATATATGCTTATACTATCTTTTACAACTAAGTAAAAGTTAAAGGGTTCATCATATTAAATAGTGTGGTCCAAATATAATTCATGTTCTTCACAAAAAACAAAAGTTAATATTCCCTACATTTCATTTTATTTGTTATTTTAAAGAAAAATTTTCGTTGTAAAATAAGTGTAATTTTATAATTTTAATGTGAAATTTATTAGTTTTATTTATTTTCTATATTTTAATTGATTAAAATGTAATTAATTGGATAGATAATTATATTTTTATTTTGAAAATATGTAAAAATAAATGATATTTAATTTGTGTATATAATTTTAAAATAACAACTAAACTGAAACTGATGGAATAGTTTTTACTGACAAATTATATACTTGGCAGCCATGCACCAACAACACACCTCGTCATCGTATAGTTTCCCATTTCTTTAGATTTAAAGGATAAGAAAATCAAATTAAGTTCTTTTTACATCGATTGTAGTATCTATTGAGAGAATGATCTGTCTCAACTCTCAAATACTCTTCTTTGTTAACAACATTATTAAGACGTATGGTACACAAGTTACATGCACCCATGACACACGTGCTCATGAGTGTATATCAATCAATACAAAATAGAGTCATCACCAACACTAGTCAGGAAACTTTTTTTTTTGGGTAACATCTAGTCAGGAAACATTAATGCGTATGGCTAACTTTGACGACATTGTGACCGCATCTTGACATAGCTTATATATAATTCTCTTTTGTTTTCACAATATAAATGTTTTATCTTTCTCTTACATCTTATTCTGATTCAAACTCAGTGAATGAAATGATACGTGCAAGTTGGTCCCATGTTCTTTTTTAGTTTGTGGTGAAGTTGGTGTACCAACAACTCACACCATAAGTCCAAGTCCACTCGTCACCTACTACTAACGTGGACAATTTGTAAACCACTGTATGAGAGATATTTTTTTATTGAAGAAATAGTAGTTGTAATGGATTTAGTCTTGTTCTTTGCCTTACTATCGATTGCTTTATTTGCATTATTTAACTAACCAAAACTGATTGTGTTAATTTGGCTAATTGTGCAGGTGCAAGGACGAGAAGAACCCTAGAGCCAAGCCATACAAGTTCACTAACCAAAAGATTAAGGACTTAGGCTTAGAGTTCACACCCACCAAGCAAAGCCTTTATGATACAGTTAAGAGCTTGCAAGAGAAAGGTCATCTTCCTCCACCTCCTCCTCCTTCTACATCACAAGACTCCAGCCAAAATGGCATCAAGATCGAGTCTTGAATAGCTTTATCCCTGAAGTATCATCCCTAGCCATTGATATATGCGTTTATTTCCCAAAAAAACAAAGAAACAGATGTTTTTACTGCTTTTGGTTATGTGAAATCTTTGTTTCAAAATGTCTTTAGCCAAATCGTTTGATGGATTTTGATTTTGTCTTAAAAGAGGCTTTTGTGCTTCATGATTGTTCTATTTAATATATAACACTAAGTAAACAACTTCATGTTTATTCTATGTAATACATTACAATAAGTAAACAATATTTCTTCTTTCTTAAATTCTCGAGTCTAAGTTGCCTGTGACCGCTACTCCATTAGGTAACTGCACATTCACAATGTTTTCTCTTGGAAGTGTATCCGCGGTCTGAGAGTTACTAGAGGCTAGTGTGGAGGGCTCTCTGTTTTTACGGAGGACAAGGTAACCAATGGCAGCTAAGTAAATGGCAATGCCTGAGAATCCAAGAATTCCTAAGAAGATGATGGCTACAAGCTTCATGTGACCATGAAGAATCACCTTGACGAAGCTGCTTACTAGATAATATATGTTGATACCCATAATAAGTCCACCAATGACCCACGTCACAGATGAAATCTACATAAAAAAGACACGATGATCAATGATATTATATATGATCATATATATATATGTATAACGGAAGTGAAAGTTTTTTTTTTTTTTTTTTGAAAGTAAAAGTTATTATTTCTTTTTTTTTAATGTGTAAAAGTTATTATTACCAGGAGTGAATTGGCGTGTGAGCCCATTTTGGTTTTGCTGCATGTGAATTTAAGAAGTGGGACTAAAGCAAATGGGAGCTCAAAAGATAAGATCATCTGCAAACAGATTATAAGATGATTAATGTTTTAAGTATGTATATAATATGATTCAAAGATTGGATTTTGAGATATTGAGTTACCGAGGCAATGATGATTAACTTTCCAGCTCCAGCAGAGCCACCTATGAGAGCTACAATCAAACTAGGGATTATAGCTAAACATCTTGTTAAGAAGTTTCTGAGCCATGGCCTTATTTTTAAATCAAGAAACCCTTGCATTACGTATTGTCCAGCATATGTTCCAGTTATTGTTGAACTCTGACCCGAAGCAAGCAACGCAATAGCAAAAACCTTTGAGCTCCATTTACCCACAACGTTCTGTGATAAGCATAAGAAGTATATACAATATATCTTTTAGTAGGGTTGAAACCAAAACTTGTAGGGTTTATGGATTTACCCGTAGAAGAAACGAAGCTTTGTTTAAGTCCAAATCTTCGCAGCTAGCTTGATCTTCTGGACTCAGATTTGAGGCATTACAAACAGCACCACTCACTGATATCACACAGACGTTTATGATGAATGCCACTGTAAGTGCTAATCCGCTTTCTATCAAGTAATACCGACAAGCTTCCTGTAAATGAGAACAAGGAACTTAGACTCATAACGTCAACAAAAATGCATGCATACTACTAGGTGATTAATTTACCTTGACGCCGGTTCCTGAACGAGGAATCTTTCTAGAGAGAACTAAAGCTGAGTGGAGAAAGAGGTTGTGCCTGTGAAGAAAGAAACATGTGAGAACTTACTTCGTAATTGAGTTGAGGGAAAGATAGAGATAGAGAGTTTCTTACGGCATAACCATGGCACCTAGGAGAGAAATTGCTAATCCAGTTGCACCATTTCCCTTTAACTGAGGAACAAAGAGACCATAGAGAACTTCTTTTGGGTCTGGCTTTGAGTAGTGAAGCTCAACAAGGAAGCATAGAGCAATAGTTAACACAAGAAACGCAATCAAGAACTCAAGCTTCCTAATCTGAAATAAAAACAAACTTAACAATGTAAAAAGCCTAAAGAAACAGATAAGAATCAAAATATGTAAGAGTAGTATAAATATAAATATAAATATACCCCATATTTTTGAAGTGCAAGAAGAATCAATGTACTAAATCCTGTGAGAAGAACACCAATCCAAACCGGGATATTGAAAAGCATGTTTAAAGCAAATGCTGTTCCAATTACTGTATACAAAGATGACCATCATTTTCTTGAGAAATTGAAAGAGAGGAAAAGAAAAAAAAACTGCAACATAATAAGAAAAAACATGATGCCTTCTGGAATGTCACAAGCGACTACAGCGATTTCAGCTACTACCCATAACATAAAGTTTGGAACTTTGGAGTATTCAGCTCTACAATGCTCTGCTAAATGCTTCCCTGCAATGATGTATACTATTAAGCAAACTAGCAATTTGAGTAATGTTTTATAAAGACTAGAAAGGAAGAAAGACTTTTGTTTGGGTTTAGAGTTGAACCTGTAACAACACCAAGATTTGCAGCCAGAGACTGAATCACCAACGCTGCACATGACGCCACCAATATGATCCAGAGTAACTATTCAACGTGACCAGAAATGATCCGAGAGATTTAACATTTGTATTAATTGATCCAAGGATGTGGCATTTGGAAAGAAAAGAAAACACACTCAATGCAAACCGTAAACGTTATAACAAACAATCCAAGCCTAAATATAGTGGAAGGTTAATTAAGTACCTCATATTTGTATTGAGCTCCTGACTGTAGATCAGTCTCAACTGTAACAGTAATGAAATTGCATGGGCTTTGTGTGTAATAATGTTGTATACTGTTTTGAATAACAAAGTGAAAATCTTACAGTTGCCAGGATCAATGTAAGCAATGGAAACAAGAAATCCAGGACCTAAGTATGAGAAGAAGTTTTTCCAGCTCTTTTTCTGCATGCAACAATAATAATAATAATATTTAAACAACACATCAAATACCATCAAGTCATTGTTCCTTGAAGACTTGTATCGATCAAGTCAATTACCAAAGAATTATAGTTAGATTTATGGAGACCAACGACAATTTATAAAAAAAATGAAATAAGACAGAAACCTCAGAGACAAGGATCTTATCAGAATCAGAGTTCTGGAAGACAGGAGCGTTGGAGAAACTTGAGTTGCCGCCACTTGCTGTTGCAGTTGCAGTTGCCATTGCTTCTGTTTACGTCTCTTCTCTCTGTCTATAATGCCAACATCCAAAGCTCTGTAAATAGAGGAGTTACATACACACCGGTATGAGTCAAATGTGAGAGAAGGTTAAATTCATTTAAGAATAGTTCTGGCATTTGCATTAATGAAAAACTGAAAAAAAAAGAAAGAAAGGAACGGTTGGTGTTTTAGGAAGGTAATCTCTCCAAATTTATAATAAAATCTTATTTTAAAGATTATATTACAAAAAATACTTAGGAAAAAGCTGAAATCATTACTTTTTGAAAAGGTAACACTAGATTACAAAAACATTCAAATCATATTCCTCAAATTGTTCACTTGGTAAATAGCAACAACCAAAAAATAAAAATATATTTCTAAAAATAAAAATATATTAGCGAAAGAAGAAGAGATTTAAAAATTGTGCCAAGTAAACCAGCTTCAAAAGCTTTAACCATTAACAACAGTAAGACAAACCGGTAAAGATAAAGACTGGCCCCACGAGGAAGTGCGCGTTGCGAGGATCTATACTAAGTGGGACCTACTACACTTTTACTTTGGTAAGACTCGATAGTCAACGCTCGATACTCTTGTGTTTCGGTTATAAAATCGACACGTAAATTCTCTTCACATAATACTGAGGACACGTAATTAGTACTCTAATTAATATAGCCCTTCAATTTGTTTCGTCCTTTTGTATACAATTGGTCCAAGGGAGCATTGATTATTTTGTTTTTTTCTTGTAATCGACTAAGATTTATACAGGCTCCAGCAAAGCCTAATAAAACATTGCTTCCATCTCTGATTTTAAACATAATTCAACAGTTTCAAATTATTAAAAACTTCTTTACAATTTAAAAATGTTTATGATCCTTTAAATCTAAGGTTCGGTCCTGACCGTAGGCTATATAAACACACGAACTATTGTATTGGTTTTCAATGTAGCTAAGGAATATGCCAAAGTTGAATTCGACCTCCACATTACACGGCTGTTATTTTATTAAGAAGCCTTTTTAAAACGAAGCCAAAATAAAAAAAATAAAATCTATACTATATTAAAAGGGCTTAATCCTTCCCTCTCATGAAGATACATCAGATTAAATAATTAACCAATAAAAAAAAGTTATTTTGCCACATCAGACCAGCTTCTATAGAGTAAAATAAAAATCTAAACAACGAAACATGCTTTTCATCTTCCTCATTCACCAACCGTACTGTCATCATCTCTCTTATTCTCTATGTATTTTTGATTTAAGCGCCTCTCAAAATGCAAACAAATCGAATAGCAAAAGACGAAAAGTCCAAAGAAAGCAACAGTTCAAAGAAATCGAAAAATCTTACCTTTGCAATCATCAACAATGGCGATGAAATCTGAGAAGGCTATTGGCATCAAAGTCGTGTTATCTGAATTAAAATTTTGAAAGATTTTCTCACACAGTTATCATTACAGATAAAAACTTAAATTACCAAACATTTAAAGGTGTGTTCTTCTTGAAGGTAGAAAATATGATTTCAGATAAACTTCATTCTCATACTAAGTGAAATATAAAGAATGAAATTGTTATATAAATATGATTTTAAATAAACGTTCATACCGATACTACAATGAAATTTAGTCAAAAAAATTAGAAGATACTAAAATGAAATGCGTGTATAAAATAATGGTTGGTTGGGGATGAAAGAATGAAATAAACATACAGTTAACCAGTAAAACATATTCTATTTTCTAACACCTATAAGGTAAATACTCAACGGTTTATAAAATTACAATATCTGCACGCATAAATTAAAGGGATCTAATAGAAAATGACACTCTGAATCATAGAATTTTTTCTTTTTATGAATCATAGAACTATAATGTTCCCACCATTTTCTGAGGTTCTTTTTTCGTTTTTTAGTAAAAATAGATGATGATATTCTGGCTAAATAGTAGACACGTATAATAATAATAATACAGCCTCAAAGGTCAATACATACCAAACAAGGAACCACATGATTAGAAGACAAATCTCTTAGATAGTCGAATTCCAACACTCTATATTTGAGTGATTCACAAGCTAAACTTGACAACAATCATTTCATTAAGAAACACTACTCATCATCCTATTCACATCCATCAAAGCCCCTCCAAATAATTTACAGACCCCAATATAAATTAAAAACAAATAACTCACATAAGCTAATACATTAATTTGAAAATAAACAGTAACTTCAAAGACTATAATTTCCAATCTACATACGTCAAACAGTAAGGCCATTCTTGACGGTATGAGAGTACAAATATATAACTAGCTACATCCTTAACTCTTTTTTATATGGCACCACTGATCAACCCTACAACGGTGCTGACTCGGATCTCACTGGTGATGGATCAAGTTTATCGATATCTCATACTGACTATCTTTTCCTATCTACTCTCACTCGACCATTGCGCCTAACAATATTTATGTGTATATAATATTCAAAAGAACATGCTCTCTGTCTATTGTCTTTGTAATGCTAACAAGGTTTTGGTAGAATTTTTTTACTGCTTCCTGTGAATGGAAGGATTTGAGCTCTGGGATCTCGTTAATCTAAGGCAACACCAAAGAAGGGATGTACGACTGGCCTACCCAAATATTAAAATTATTTCTATAATCATGTTAGCAAATATAGCCAACCATATTGAGGATAAGGTGAATCTAATCTCAAAAAATCAGTTCCTATAGAAATATATGATACAAAAATAAAGAAAACCACAAAATAACAGTTGACACGTAACATAAAATAAAACGAAAAACTAATGTTAAACAAAACTGAAACGAACACAAATATTTAAATAATCTAAGTATAATGAATTAAAGAATTTACTTAATAAAAACTAAGGTTTACAAAAATCTTAATTCATTTTCCCTATGGATAACATCGATCTAATATATAAATTAGAATGTAAGGATATTTGTATAAATTACCCGGGCGTAGCCCGGGAAAAGTCTCTAGTCTTAATAAAGACTACTTATCGTACAAGATAACGAATGGATTAAAGGATAACTTAGTTTCAAAAATTTGAACAAAAAAACTTAGTTTCGAATCTTACTATATTATGTGACTCCATGAATACAGTTTTTCTTTACTCTAAAGTTACATCATTATAAGCTTTTAATGATAACTTGGTTTAACGTTGTTAATAATCAGGACCGTCTAATAGCATGTGTAAGTAGAGCGGTAGAACATGACCCCAAATATAAAAATAAAAATAAAGAGAAAATGAGAAAAAATTAAGAATTTTTAAGAAATATATAGGAAAACTATAATTACCTTTTTTTAAAAAAAAATAGATATCTTTCTACGTTAGAACTTATAACTTAAAAAACATTAAATTTAGTTATTAATTTTCTAAAAAAATTTATTAAATCATAAATATATCGTTAATTTTTTTTGAATAGGATCTAAATTTATTTGAAACGGCCTGTTAATAATAATTATGATGTAATCCATATGATACTAATCTGAATATTGTAGTAGCGTTACCATTCATTGAGATATATAAAAGCATAAACCCAAAACATCTTATACAACACAAGGAAGAAAAAGAAAACATAACAGTCCAACGCACCGTGGCAATAATCTTTGAAAGGAAACAACATAGTAACTCAATATACGTCAATTAGATGTTAGGATCGCTCCTATTTTACTTATCACCTCAGCATCACAAAGAACTAATTCTTGAAAAAATCATAATTGATTTATAAAAGGTTCAAAATTAATTAGTGACGAATTCATAATAGTTTTCTGAAGTATTTAGAATTGATTTATAACGGGTTAAGAATATTTTTTTTGAAGAGTTCAGAATATGTTTTCTGAAGGATTCCAAAACAACTACAAACATTTTTTGAAGAGTTTAAATTATTATTTAAAAGGTTCAAAATTATTTTCTAAAAGAATCAAATTGTGAAAAATTATTTTCTAAAAGAATCAGATTGTGAAGTTCATACTATTTAGTGTTGTTTAAAATTATAAAACCACATTCTACATTTACACTAATGTAATCCAAACTATCCTACATTGTACATGGAGATCGTTTTAATTTTGTAAACGATTAACTTAATAAAATTTAACATACTATCTAAATTAGTGGACTAACCATTATAAATCTATATTCTCTAGAGAAACGAAGACGTTAAAGGTTCTAAACTTCTTTGACCATTATCCTATGACAGTTAACGATGCAATTATGCACTAAAACTAATTTTTCATTTTTTGATTTTTTTTCAAAATCTGTGGGTTAAGCCCTACGAAAATTTTGAGTTTTTTTTTTTGTTAAATTCTTTATACACTGAAACTTATACTCTTTAGTGCTGTTTGAAAATTTAAAACCATATTATATATTTGTATTAATGGATGCTAAACTATTTTTAATATATTTCTAATTTTAATTTTAAAAATCAGAAATATATTATGAACAATTCTTAAATCAATTATGAACTTTTTAGAAACCAATTATGAACTTTTCATAAATCATTCTGAACTGTTTAGAAAAATTTTATGATCCATTCGGAAAATAATTTTGAATTTTTCCAAAAATAATTTTGAACCCTTCAGAAAAAATTTCATCTTTTCATATCTTGTTTTGAATCAACGTGTTCGAAAAGGCTTATAATATTTTTTGAAGGATATCAAAAATGAATTATAAGAGATGAGAAACACGACTAAAATGCACTATTAAAAATAATAGGTACACAATCTTTAAACATATATAAATAGAAAGAGTAAAGTGAAAAGTAAATAGTGTTTCAAGGGGATAAACAGTGTATTCTCAAATTGACGATATACAGTTTATATCCTTAAAATTTGAGGATATGAATGGTTGTTGGAATGTAAGGTTTCAAAAATCCTTTTGAAAATAAGAATATTTTTTAAAGGATTCAGAAACAACTACAATACATTCTGAATGATTTCTGAAGGGTTCAAAATTATTTTATAAAGAATTCAGAACTATATTTCTGACGAATTAAGAATATTTTTTGAATGATTAAAAATAAAATTTTTGAAGATCCGAAAACATTGTCTAAAGATCTTTAAGAACCCTTCAAAAAAAAAAAATATTCAAAACCCTTTATAAATCAAATTCTGAATTCTTCTGAAACTAATTCTAAATCCTTCGTAACTCAATACTAGCATTCTCAACCAATCAACTTAGAGACCGCTCTGCATAAACTTAAATGTATAATTTTTTAGAACTTTTGGGGAGGGTTCTACACTATTAGGTAGACCCTATCATTACATACATATATATAATATATATATATATACACATATATATAATTTTAGAATTACAATGGGATAGAACCCCCATTGAAGATGGTTAGGCAACTATAATCAGGAAAGCAAAGAGAAAGATACGAAACATAGAAGAGTGCATTCTCACCAGATCAACCCTTTTGACTTTAGGAAACCCAAGGTAAGTCTTTCTGATCGACGAGAGAGAGAAGAAGGTCGTTCACGAGTCATCGTTTAACACGTCATAGTTGCTCGAGCCGACAATAAAACAGATATTAATTTAATATTTACATTGCTCAACGGACAATAAGATGGGTCTTATTACTGTAATGTTTAAGCAAATGATTAAGATTAGGGAATGTTTGTTCGTGTAATCTCAAGATTTTATTATATGCTTTTAATTGGAGAATTTTAAATGAATAATTTATTCTAAGGTTGAAAAATAGCCACAAAAAGGGACCCACTTATCCTAGTTTCGTAAACGTGATCTCTTCTCTTTCCTTAAACATTCAAAAAATCACAAACTTTTTTAATTCTTTGGCTCAAAAACACTTTCACCACTCCAATGGCTTCACTTCCTCAATCACCTAAACCCATCTCTCCCTTCTTCAAAACGCCGCCGTTTTCCACCAAACCACTCGTCTTCCTCAACTTCCCAACCCGGCCAACCTCCAAATCCCTCGATGTATCAGTCAATCTCAAGAAGAAGAAGAGCTCGTGGCTCGACCCATTTGACGACGGCGAAGACACGAACAACGAATACGGTTCACTCTTCGTCGACGGGAAGCAAGAAGAAGACCCGAGACCACCGGATAATCCTGACAACCCTTACGGGTTCTTGAAGTTTCCAATGGGTTACACCGTCGAGCTCGCTTCTCTGCCGTTGAAAATCAGAGGAGATGTTCGACGGTGTTGCTGCGTTGTCTCCGGTGGTGTTTACGAGAATCTACTCTTTTTCCCGACAATTCAGCTACTTAAAGACAGGTAAAAAAAGGACAAAAAAGTCTTTTTATATTTCAAAAGCAGAACATTGTCTGAACGTTGGTTTCTTGTTGTTTGTAAGGTACCCTGGAGTTCAAGTAGATGTCTTAACGACAGAGAGAGGAAAACAAACATACGAGTTAAACAAAAACGTGAGATGGGCTAATGTGTATGATCCAGACGATCATTGGCCTGAGCCTGCTGAATATACAGACATGATTGGACTTCTCAAAGTTTGTTACCTTTTTAAAATTTGTAACCTTTTTTATTATAGAGATAAGGTTGTATAGTTAGAGAAAATTAGGTCAGGAAGCGTTTATGCTCTGATACCATATAATGAATAGAAAGCGTGGTTGTATTCATGTGTTACAATGTGTATATATACAAGCAATGAGATCCTAATAACAAGGGGATCATGTATATCTAGATAACTCCAACAAGAGTATATCGTTATCTCTAACTATACAACCTTATCTCTATATTTATTTATCAGACTTGTTAAAATTAACTTTCCTTGTGTTGCAGGGAAGGTACTATGATATGATTCTATCCACGAAGCTTGCGGGGTTAGGCCACGCAGCGTTTTTGTTCATGACAACAGCTAGAGATAGAGTTAGTTACATTTACCCGAATGTTAACTCTGCTGGAGCTGGACTGATGTTATCTGAAACGTTTACAGCAGAGAATACGAACCTTTCAGAATTAGGTTATAAAATGTGAGTTAGCTTCTTTCACAAGGCGAATCAGAATGAAAATGTTTTATTTGACTGGTTTATGGTTTTCAGGTATGATCAGATGGAGGATTGGTTAGGGAGACCGTTTAGGAGTGTTCCAAGGACTCCTGTGCTGCCACTTAGAGTGTCGGTTTCACGGAGATTGAAAGAGGTTGTGGCTGAGAAGTATAGGAAAGCTGGAGTGGAGACAGGGAAGTTTATAGTGATTCATGGGATTGAATCAGATTCAAAGGCATCAATGCAGTCAAAAGGAGATAGTGATAGTTTGCTTCCACTTACTAAATGGGGTCAGATAACAAGGGGTATAAGGTAACTAGACAACAACCTCAGAGTTTTTAATGTTTTTGTTGAGATGTTGGCTTTTCTCTGACATGAAAAATGGCAGGGGATTCAAGCCGGTTTATGTGATTCCACATGAGAAAGAGAGAGAAAACGTTGAAGAATTTGTGGGTGATGATACATCTATAGTGTTCATCACAACACCAGGACAGGTATGTCTAAAGCCTTAGGCATCTGTCTGTATCTACTGTAAAAAAGTTGTGTAACTCATATCTTACTTGATTCTTTTTCTTGTGTTTTACTTAGTTGGCTGCTCTGATAAACGATTCTGCTGGAGTTATCGCTACAAACACAGCTGCTATTCAACTAGCTAATGCTCGAGACAAACCAAGGTGAATATTATCTGATTAGTATAGACAGTGTAATCAGTTATATTTCAAGAACTGACATGTGTTTGTTTCTTCTTCTGCCAGTATTGGGTTGTTCTCTTCAGAAGAGAAAGCGAAGCTCTTTGTACCAGACGCAGAAGAGAAGAGTAACTGTGTCATTGTTGCTTCAAAGACTGGAAGTCTAGCAGATATCAACGTAGGAGCTGTTAAAAATGCAATGCAGGTCTTTGAAGGATCATTGGCTCTTGTGTAGATAATCTCAAAAGTTTGTAAAAACAAGTTACATATATATATATATATAGCATTCATGTGTATAAATCATATTTATTCAGCATCAAAATCAGGTTCAGGAGGCTTTTGCAGATTCAACAACCTCTTTGAACTCTCTGTGCTCCTTAGTCTATGACCTTTCAATGCATTAGCAGCAAATCTTGATGCAAATATCGTCGAACGTAGTCTAGAAGAAGACTCAGTTCTTGTAAACACTGGACTCCTCTCGTCCTCCTCCTCAGCATCATCATACTCATCTTCATAACCCATCCCGTCTTCCTCTTCTTCAATCCGTCTCAGCTCAGCGTTTTTCCTTCTAGAATGACGACGCCAAGCAGCTTGGATGAAGCTTGAAGCCCAAGTTCTCCATTGCTGAGAGTAAAACCTAAAAGTCTGTTGAACCTGACGGCTGTGAAGTCTCCTAAACTGACTTGCTACAAACTTCAACTCTTCAGCTTCTAAAGCAAAAGCCTCCACTTCAGTTAGAGCCTTCACTGTTCTTGTGGAAGAAGGTAGGTTTGATCCTGCTTTAGGATCAAGCGCCCAAGTCAGAAGCTCTTCACCACAAAAGTCTCCTTCTTTCAATAACCCTCTGTTGAAGAAACCGCTTCTTCCTCCATCTGTGGTTACACTCTCTAACCGGCCTCTGATTATGAACAGCATTTCGTTAACCGGGTCTCCTTCACGGACAATGTAAGTACTCTCCGTGTAAAGACTAGGTTTTAGTCTCTCACAAATGGCGTCAAGTAATCTCTCATCCATGTTAGCAAACAAAGGAACCTGCAGAAACAGAACACATTGTTAGTTAAAACCTCTAAGTAAGTTTAGGATTATGATTCTGAAGACTTACCCTTCTAACTAAATTCAGACAGAGATGGCGTTTAATGTCTCTCCTTAGATCCTTAGGTAAACTCTGGACTATGTTCTCTTCATCCACACCTCTTGTTTCTAACCATTTATATTGATCATAGCGTCTCACTCTTTCTCTAAGATTCTGTGGAAGTGACCTGTGGTGCATCCACTGTTCAGAGTCACGTCTTTTGATCCTCATTTCCTCAAGACGGACGGTAAGTGACTGAAGATAAGTCTGCATGTTTCCGATAAGAAGCGCGAAAAGAAGAAGGCCAGCTATAGCAATCGCAATAGAGAACAGAACCTCTCCTGGAAATGTACTTGTTTGCAGCCCTTGACCTAACGTGCTGCGAAAGAAACACCATATATCTATATATTTAAAACCAATGTTCTAAAAATCGCTAGACTTCTAAAATCTTTATAAAAGATTAGTGTTTTTTTTTTTTTTTTTTTTTTGACATCAAAGATTAGTGTTTAGATTGGCGCCTAAATCTATATTTTGAATGATTAGACCAATTATTTTTCAAAAAATCGGTTTAAGAAAAGTATTCCGTTTAGATTTGATTTGCTGTCTAAACCGATTTTTAGAACACAGCAACTGGTACATTCGTTACTTTGGCGCGATTTACCTGAGATTTTGAAGACCCCACCATAGACAATAACAGAACTTGGAGAAAAACGTTGTTGATGATACAATGCCTGAAGATATAGCCTGACCATAAATCCCATAGTTGAACTTTGAATCATCTGCTTTAGCAGAACAATTGCTCTTAAGAAGCTCAGGAACCGTTTTGATCCATTCTGTTTCACGGCTACTCACAAACTTGCTCCCACAATACAGAATCTGAACACATAGTTTTGGATCTGGTTGGACTTTACACGCAAATCTCCAACAAGTATCATTACGTTCCACTGACAACATGTACCAGAAAGCTCCAGTTATCTGCCACAAAAACGTAAATAACACAATCATAACAACACTTAACCAACAAGAGTCATGTGTAGAGACACTTACGTGGCTTGCAAGCATATACCAGAGGAGATAATAAGCAGCACCAGCCCAAGCACCTTCAGCAAAAGCTCCTGCAGTCTTCTTTAGTTCTGATGTTAACGGTATAAACCTAACGAATCTTGGAATATACTGTGTGATTACAATGTTTAACAGAGCTGTTTTGGTTGGTAACACATCCATTCCTTTTGATCCGTGAAGAAACTTCCATACAGCAATCTACAAAAAAAAACAAAAAAGATAAAACCTAATCAAATCCCTCTAATGAAACCAAATGACTTAAGAGTGATTTTTTACCTGCGGTAAAGGGAGCACTGCGAGGAAATCCACAATGAAATAACGTGTTAAATACCGTTGAGCGATCTTAGGAGGATCAATCACAAGCTCACCACGACCAAACACACGAGAAGAAGGAGCTATGTAAGCTGTGCGAAACTGAAGAGCCATTCTAGTCAGATAAAAAACGTCAAGAATCGTTCTAAGAGTTGTTGTTGTAACGGCTAGCTTCGTGTCAATCCCTATACAGCTGCTCCCTGAGTTATCGACAATGGGGAGATAGAAGAAGAGTGGATCAACGGAGACAGCTAAAATACAAGAAATGACCAACATTCTGTTCCATATGAGAAGTGTTTTGTCTTGAGGGTCAAAGATTTTCTTCTCTGATATTCTTAGATCTTCAGGGAAAACCGCTCTCGTTACGGATTTACCGATGGTTAATAGACCTTCTGATCCGAATTTGACACCTTCCCTGAAAGATTTGGATGCTCTCTTCTTCTCTTCACCTCGTTTTTTTACGTTGAATCCGAAACAGTTTCTTTTCGTCATCATTCCAGTAGCATGAGAAGCAGTTGAATCTAGATCATCTAACCTGTTAAAGGCGCTTATTTCTCAGCTTGAAGAAGATCTGAAGAAACTGTTAGGAAATAATTATTACGTTTATTTTTTCTCTGTGTTACCTAACAAATTTTTCTCTCTGGCCACCTATGTATTGGGATTTATACATGTTCTTGAGAAACAATCACATGTGTGCTGTGTACGTTTCATGCGTTTATCTTGCAAGAACACCCCAAAACATAACCTAATATTATCACCCCAGATCTCGATTATATGAAATAAAATAAAAAAAACTACAATATTAAATAAATGAGAGCATCAAAAGATCTGAATTTCTCAATTACTTACGGTGATGATCGACAACGTTGAAAAGTGAATGTTTTTGCATAATCTAGCTAGGGCTATAAGGAAACTTGAGAAAGAAGAAACCGAGGGTTCTTTAGCCTTAATTATACACTAATGACCAATGTGAACACGTGTTCCTCCCTACTTTGTTGTTGGTTTGGTTCTGTTTTAAGCCTAAGAAACTCCCATGTCCTGGAATGTGGGACTACGAAGAGTTATAGCGCATTTACCGCGTCTTTTGGTTGGGTAAATAAGTCAAGAAAAGTTACATATACTTGACTATGTTTGGTTACCCGTTTCTAAATAAATGACAAAAGATTTTATCACATTTGAATTGATTGACAAATGTTTTAATTGTGCAAAGGAAACAAATCATTAGTCATGTAACCAACACAATAATAATGAAAAGAGCTGGTGGTCTACATTCATCATGTCCTCTCTCTCTCTCATAGAGGCATGAGTCTTCTATACTTGAAGAACCAGACAAACGCCGAAAATATGACAAGGCCACAGATTCCAGTAATTATAAGCACCCATCTGAACGCACCTGGCTGATTGAAAAAGTCTATCTCAAAGTTCATTCCAAATATCCCTGCAACCACTCCAAATATAGCTACCACAAACGTTGCTGTCGTCAGAAGCAACTCGAATTGGATCAGCTGATTACGCACATTATCCTGCCAAAACATCCCAAGACTTTAACATTCAGCTGTGGAGGGTATAAAGAGGTTGAATCTTGAGGTATTTACCAGTTGAATGTTAATAAAATCTTCAGTATCATCAATGTACTCCTTCAACTGTAAAGAGAGGAACACAGATGGTTAAATCTTTCCTAGCAAGGGAAGGTTAAGAAAGAAAAACAAGAGAAGAGGACACTAAATTACCGATGTCAGTTTGTTTAGAGTACTATCAATGACGACAAAGTAAGCTTCCAGCAACATCTCCAGCTCTTCTATGTTCTCAGTCACGCCTTCTGAACTCCTTGCACTGTCATGTCTGCTCCTAGCAATACTCACGCTTCTATCGAGTCTACTACGTGAATCAGGTGGAGAAGACACAGGAGAGACCGGTGCAGAAACAGATAAACCATCGTTTGATCGGTAACCAATTAAGGATTGGTGGTCGCCATACAAAGATCCTTCCATCCTCTTCTTCTTCTCAGTGAGATACATTTCAGCCATATCTCCGTCATCATCCATCAGCTGCTCAATCTCATCCCTAACCTTTTGCACTCTTCTTGTAAGTGCCACAAGTCTGCTCTTAAGTCTACGTACACGTTCCAGGTTTAGTGTACTGATCTTTGATGTAAGCTCATCTAGTAACGGATACGCCTCAATCTCCAACTCTGAAGCCTATAGAGAATGCAAAAGGTTCAATAAACGTCAAATCTAAGGCCAAAACTAAACTGTTACTAACCTGGGAATCGAGAAAGGTACAAGCAGCTTCAAGGGCAATCTCAAGAGCTCTAAACTCAAAAGGCAAATAATCAGGAGACGAATTCTCAAAACTATTGTCAAAACTCCTTCTCCTCCTACTCACTTGGCCACCATTATCCTGCTGCCAAATCTCACCAACACCACTAGTCTTTAGCCTCTGCTGCAACTCAACAACATACCTCAGGACATAGTTGTCAAGCGAATTCAAAAGCAGAACTTCATCAGCGGTGATAATACACCGTATCTGCTCCAAGTTCACAACAATAGCCTTTTCTCTCCCGAGGATAGTTGAAGGATAGACGAACAAAGGATCAAGAAGGCGTAGATCACGAGCTGGTAAGTCACATCTACGCATCATAGTGAACTTATCAACCTCCATGACCTGAGTGTTTCCAGAAGTATCAACACGAATCCAAGAACGTAATCCTTGTCCACGCTTCTTGAGACCCAAAACATCAACTCCAAGAAGAGAAGTTCTTCCAGAAGCAGAAGCGCGAGACGCAGCAGCATCTCTGAGATTTAAAGCTGAAGCAGGTCTTGGAGGAAGTAGACGCTCTTTTAGTTCAGACATTGTAAAGAATTAGACAACTGAAAATGCACAAACATTAACACGAATTAGCATCAAAAGAATAAAAATTTCCTTGATAACTCAAAAAAAAAATTACCAGTTTTTATTTATTTTTTATTTTAAGTTTGATCTTGTGGTTGTTACTCTATCCAAAGACAGCTGTTACCAAACAAGTGATGAACTAATCTGAGATTCAGACAAGAAAGCTTGAAACTTGGGAAGACAAAACACCAGCCACAGGATCGAACAGCTGCATAGATTGAAAAACAAAACAAACAAATCAATTCGAAGCGTTTGTACTAAGAGAAGATAACCCTAAACCGAAGATATCTGAGGAGAATCTTTACCTCTGCTACGGAGATTGGTTTCATCACACTTGAATCCAATCAAGACGCACTCGTCAAAGGGAAAACCCTAAAACAAGACAGCGGAACAGATCTCTGTGGAGGCTTCTCGGGAGTTCTGAAGTAAACGCGGAAGGGATATGGTTTGGTTGCAAATTTATTATGGCTTTGTAAGAAGGAAGAAGAGAGAAGAAGAAACAAAACGAGCGATAGATACGAGTAACACGCAAATAGTTTTTTTTTTTTATGTAGTCGCCAAGTAGTGACATTTTTGTGGTTAACCGAACTCCTAACCGACCGGCTTTAACTGATTTATTTTGGTTTAGTCTCTAATTTACCGGTTTGGTCTCTAATAATCCACTGTAGTTGATGAATATGCTTTCATGTTTTTCATTAATAAATGTTCAATTATTAAAGTAAGAGAGAGAGAGCCACCAAACTGATTGATCAAAATTATTTGAAGATTTCACACAACGTGCGATCTGAAGAAATAGACAGAAGCGGCAGAGATGACGTAAGCAGTAGAGAATCTAAACAAATATTCGGCCGCCCGTTTCAGCTATTTGACCCGGTTTTTTGATAACCCGACCCGGTTATCTCCACCGGTCATCGTGACTCTCAGTTAAAAGCTAGCTCGGGAAAAGATTTTGATCAAAAAAAAAAAAAAAAAAACTAGCTCGTGAAAAGATTATGCAATGTTCATAAAACATATGATCAAGTTCTCGAGTGTTATTTGTTCTTGTTCCGTATAAATATAAAGAATTCCCAATTCCCAGTAACACATGGTAACATTTCATGTTAAGACAAATAGGCACAGCATAGTCATCTTATAAGATGTTGAAATGAAGTTAAAGAAAGCATTATAAAGGCGGTGAAAAGAATGGAGACGACCGAGAAGAACAACTGTGGTTGATGGTCCATGGCAGTGTTACGTTTGGGAGATGCTTTCCGGCCTCCACCTCTTCCACCTCTAAACCCATGACCATGAGCTCCTTTCCCTGCCCTGAAAATGTGTATGCTGCTCTTTTCTTCTTCTCTTTTTATGTCTTTGATTGTAGCACCTGCCATAGGAAGGAACAAACATATGAGGAGTAATACTTTACGTTTTGGCAATAAACTTAAGAGAAACAATAGATGCTTAAACAGAGCACCATGGACTTGTTCTTGGTCTAATAAGCTTGCTGATGAACTGAGCTCTATAGAATCTGATGAGATGGGGAAGCAGAGGAATAAAAGGAAGAGTAGGAGGATGAACAATGCGAGAAGGTTTCTCTCCATTGTTATCTGAGCTTTGGTGGATTAGTAGTGCCTGTTCTGAACCTAGAAATGTTTATATATCCACGTGAGTGGACCAGAAGAACATGTTCAGAAATGATTAAAGGATTTAAGATACGTTTCTTTATCACAATTCAAAGATCAAATTTTGCTTTTACAGGATAAAATAGTGCCAGCACGCAAAGACGATTCACAGATATCTCAACATGAATTTTTTATTTGTATGTTTAGCTTGATGTTCAAGTTTTAGATAATTCTGTCTATGCAACGAATTGGAGACGATTTTCATGGAGGTCTGACACTGTAAGATAAAGTAATCACTTTATTTAATACTCGAAACAAAAACTGAAATTGAGTAAAGCATACAACTAGATTACTCTCATTCGTTTCACTAGCAATACACAAACACTCTTAGATATTCAAGACATTACACAAATACAAAGAAAAACTTTCCAACAGTCCATAACCACTCTTTGTTTTCCACCGCTCTAATCAACCTCTTCTATCTTTGGACCTCCAGCACCACCTGAGCCACCGCTTGCAGGCATACCACCATCAGAATATCCAGCACCAGCACCACCACCCTGATACATCTTTGAGATGATTGGGTTACAAATACCCTCCAGCTCTTTCAACTTATACTCAAACTCATCAACTTCCGCAAGCTGGTTCCCTTCAATCCACTCTATTGTCTCATCAATCGCCTTCTCAATCTTCTGCTTATCCTCTTGACCTAGCTTCTGAGCGAGTTTCTCATCCTTGACAGTGTTCCTCATGTTGTAAGCATAATTCTCCAGCGAGTTCTTGGCCTCCACTCTCTTCTTCACTTGCTCATCCTCAGCCTTGTACTTCTCAGCATCTTGCACCATCTTCTCTATCTCCTCTTTACTCAACCTCCCTTTATCGTTCGTGATCGTGATCTGGTTCTTCACACCAGCCGTTTTATCCTCGGCCGACACGTTCAAGATCCCATTGGCGTCAATGTCAAAGCAAACATTGATCTGAGGAACTCCACGTGGCGCAGGAGGGATCCCCTTGAGCTCAAACGTTCCAAGAAGGTTGTTGTCTTTAGTCCTCGCACGCTCTCCTTCATACACCTGGATCAGAACACCTGGCTGATTATCTGCATAGGTAGAGAACACTTGCTCCTTCTTACAAGGAACCGTCGTGTTCCTCGGAATCAACACAGTCATCACACCACCAGCCGTCTCGATGCCAAGACTCAACGGCGCAACATCAAGAAGCAGAAGATCTTGCACCTTATCACTTCCTTCACCAGTCAAAATCGCAGCCTGAACCGCAGCTCCATAAGCAACAGCTTCATCAGGGTTAATGCTCTTACAAAGCTCCTTCCCATTAAAAAAATCTTGCAAAAGCTGCTGAATCTTAGGAATCCTCGTAGACCCTCCAACCAAAACCACCTCATGAACACGGCTCTTATCAATCTTAGCATCCCTCAAAACTTTCTCCACAGGATCCATACACTTCCTAAACAAATCCATATTCATCTCCTCAAACCTCGCACGCGAGATAGTAGCGTAAAAATCAACCCCCTCGTGCAAAGAATCAATCTCAATACTCGTCTGAGCAGTCGAAGAGAGCGTCCTCTTCGCTCTCTCACAAGCCGTTCTCAACCTCCTCAACGCCCTAGCGTTCCCACTAACATCCTTCTTATGCTTCCTCTTAAACTCCGCCACGAAATGATTCACAAGCCTGTTATCAAAATCCTCACCACCGAGATGAGTATCTCCAGCAGTAGCCTTCACTTCAAACACACCTTCCTCAATCGTCAACAAAGAAACATCAAACGTCCCGCCTCCAAGATCGAAGATCAAAACATTCCTCTCGCCACTCTTACTCCCCTTCTTATCCAACCCATAAGCAATAGCCGCAGCAGTTGGTTCGTTGATAATCCGCAAAACATTAAGCCCAGAGATACACCCAGCGTCCTTAGTAGCTTGTCTCTGAGAATCATTAAAGTAAGCAGGAACCGTAACTACGGCGTTTTCAACACTATGTCCCAAGAAAGACTCTGCTACTTCCTTCATCTTAACCAAAACCATCGAAGAAATCTCCTCGGGGGAGAATTGCTTCTCTTCGTTCTTGTACGAGACGACGATCATCGGTTTGTCTCCAGGACCGGAGACGACCTTGAACGGCCAGTGTTTCATGTCGCTCTGAACTGAAGGATCGGTGAATCTTCTACCGATGAGACGCTTCGCGTCGAAGACGGTGTTGTGTGGGTTCAACGCGACTTGATTCTTGGCCGAGTCGCCGATTAAGCGCTCTGTGTCGGTGAACGCGACGTAGGAGGGTGTTGTGCGGTTTCCTTGGTCGTTGGGGATGATCTCTACGCGGTCGTTGATCCAGACTCCGACGCAGCTGTATGTGGTGCCGAGATCGATGCCGATTGCTTTTTCTGATTTCGTCGCCATTGTTGTTGATTGCGAAGGTTTAGGTTTTTTTCTCCGAGTTGTTTGAGTTGTTGTTGTTGTTTGCTTGTTTGCTTGATGAGTGATGTGAATCGATGGGAGCAGGTATATATAGGTATTGGATGGGTGAAAAAAGACATTTCGAGAGGGAACTCGCGGAAACAAGATGTAGAAAGATGGCGAAATCTCAGACAAGTACCAGAGAGTTCTGGATTCGCCGGGGGTAATGAATGTTTCAGATATTTATTTCCGACATCCTCTTTAAACATATATATGGGCCATAAGGGCCCATTATGGTTTTTAACGTCTAAGCCCATAGTTAAATAAAAAGGCCCAATATGAGTTCCGTACCAAAGGCCCAATTATGGTTTTTAAGCCCATAGGTCAAGGAAAAAGGCCTAGTTTTTCAATATCTTTTCTCTGTCGTCTTCTTCGCTCGTTCTGATCTCGAAGACGAGAGAGAAGGGAAAGCCATGAAAGAAGCTAAGAAGAAGAAGAAGCTAGAAACCTCCGCTGGTGTATCTAGCAATGGTTCAATATCAGCTTTGGGTGCGTTGTTTTTTTATTTGGTTACTGGATTGTTTCTAGCCGTCGGATTCTGGGTGGCACGGAACAAATTTTCAGTGGATCTCGTCTCTGATCCATCTATGACTCTATTTCTCCTCTGGGTACTGTAACCACTTATTTTCATTTGTTACTGCTCAAATGTTGATTTTTTTAATGTAGCCTTGTTTTTGATTTTGTTAACTTTCAGAGTATTGAGTTTCCGGTTGTGGTGATCATCTACAGCTTTCTACGGAAAGACCCAGAGAAGTGTTCAGTGAGTGTAGTTCCTTCATGATTGAATGATTTATACATGGAATAGGTTTAAATAACCCAAGCACAGCAGTTTTGCTGCATGTTTTAGTAAATATGGTTTCTTTTTGTTATAATGTTGTACTTTGTAATTACCAGAAGCTGAACAAGTGTTTTGCTTTGCGTAGAGAAGGCACAATCCGTTTTGGTTTCTTGTTCTTAATGTGTTTCTTAATTGCTTTTCAGTGTTTTAGGGCTATTGGGAGAAGCATATTAGGACTTATTTCAGGTTTGTGTTCTTTGTTTTTTTTTTTTTTTTTTATAAACTTACTAGGTTTGGTTCTTCTTGCAATACAAGAAAAGAAACAATCAAGTATTCTTAGCTTACTAGTAGATTCAAGCTGATTACCATGTGAATGATCCAGCTCTCCGAGTTACCAATATGTAATAGGAATGACTCAAATCAGCTCATTTTCTGTTTCAGTATCCTTTGATTTTTCAGTTCTGTAAGGCTTTTTTTTGTTTGAACAACAGGGGCTTTTATGAATGCTTTGGGAGCAATTGCTTTAGGTGCACCTATCGGAGTGCAGTATGTTTCCAACAAGTTTTTGTTTCTATAACTTTTTTGCTTCTTTTTTTTTTTCCTTTTTTATGGAAGTATTGTTTGTGATCACCCTTCTGCATGATTCTCTAATGCTGACTTGACTATTTTACCTCTCATCTCATGCAGATATCTACCAAAAACAATTCACTGGTCCTTTCTAATGTCTGTTTTCACGGTAAGCTGCACAGTTCATATGACTTTAAAAGATGCAATGATGTTGATACTGCGCATATGTCTGTTGGGGCTGACCTTTGATTGACCCGAATAATTTTGAATTTCATAGTTTGTACCTGCTACTGCAGTTTTTGGTGCGTCATTGACAGATTGGCATCGTGTATTCGCATCGATGAAGTGAGTTCTTTTAATCTTTTTACCTTATATGATAGATCAATGATAGATCTCACAATTATTCACGTAATTCATCTTTTTGTTTCTTATAGACCAAGTGGAAACATAGAATATATGATCCTTGTTCCAGCATATGGAGCAATTATTGGAGGATGGTTTGGAGCTTGGCCGATGCCGCTCGACTGGGAAAGGCCATGGCAGGTAATATTTCACTATGCCAAGTTATACATCTAAGAGATTAGTTCTTGTTCTTGGCATGGTGGTTGAGTTACTTAAGTATATATGTTAATGTATATCTAATCGTTGTACTATTATTATTCTTCTAAAACAGGAATGGCCAATATGTGTATGTTATGGAGCTATAGGAGGCTACATTGCTGGACAAATTCTCTCCTTGTGTTTGATGTTTTTCCTCAGGAAACACAAGAACTTGAAGGTGGCCTAGAATGGATTAACGGTGTCCATAATGAGTTTCCTTTTGTTTTGACTTGATTGCGAGGCAACAATAGGGTGGTTTTTGTGAGGTTGTATATTTTCCATATAGGATCAAGTGTTTCGGAATTGCAAAATTATAAAATCTTTCGTCTCCGCTTTCTTGCAACTCTTTTCACTCGTAAGGAAGACACCATCGTACATATCAAAATCATTCTACTGCACAACCATTCAAATTCCTGATAATGGACTTTAGGCTTAATTTCACTGATTTTTTTCTGTTAACTGACCGACATTATTTATGGGTTAATTTCAATGGAATTTTCAGTTATAGAATAATTCTTTCTTAAAAAAAATGCTTTCTGAAAAAAAACATTATATAAATCAAACAACTGTTTGACAAAAAAAATATATAAAAAAATAAATCAAACAACTATAATCGTCACTCAGTGTAGTCTAGGCCTGGGCATTCGGATATCCTTTCGGGTTCGGGTCGGATAATTCGGGTATCGGATTTTTCGGATTCTGAAAAAATGTCCCATTCGGATATTTTAAAAACTCGGGTCGGGTTCGAGTCGGATCCTCTCGGTTCCGGGTGGGTATGGATATTTTAAAAAATATCCAAAAAATATCGGTTACCCATTATAACCGGATCGGTTTCGGATAAAAAAAATCCAAAGTAATCAAACCTACTTGTTTTTAATCCAAATATCCAAAGTTATATGACTTAAAAATGAATAACTTGAGTTAAAATTGAAGAACATGAATTTAAAATAAATAACAAACTAAACATATTAATAAATGAAATCAATAACTAAGTGTATTTTGATTTCATTCATATGATTAATAACTAAGTGTATTTAGATTTATTGATAAAATGATAACATAAACAGAGTAAACATAAACTTAAAACATAAACTAAAAAACACAATAAACATAAACTGATACCATAAACTGAGTTTAATATAAAGCCGAGATTACTAGTTGAAAAACAAACAACATTCCTTTCCGATAACATAAGCTGAAAACAACAACACTTAGAGAAAATGTGTTCGACAATGACACAAAACAAACAAACAAACAAAGAGAACTAATGTCTCAGACTCAGACTCAGACCGAACATAAAAGAAAACAAAAGCCTTCACCATCCAACCAACTTCATCAGAAAAAATTACACCACACTCCGAAACTATCCCTGAAGAAAGTAAACAAACTTGCATTAGCAAATAAGCAATGATCAACTTCAAAGTTCATAGCAGAAAGTTGAGTTTACCTTGAAGCAAAAGAACCAAACACAAGACCACACACATCCTTAGTCTTCTTGCAAGTTCAAATTATCATACTCTGACATAAATTAAAATAATTAGTAAACATAAAAAAAAGATTAACATATAAGATTAGAGAAGAAAAACTACCTCTCTTAAGCTTATCCTCATACTCAAAGTCACTGAGAATCTGTTCCATTGTCACCAGCCTTAAATCACCACATTGAATGTCTGCCTTTAGCCATTGCTCTGAGCACATCAACACTTCGACCATGTAATGAGTAAGACAGCTCCTGTATGAATCAATGATACGACCAGAAGTGCTAAAAGCACTCTCAGAAGCAACTGACGAGACTTGCATTGCAAGTACATCTTTTGCAATCTGTGCAAGAACCGGGAACTTTGTGGAATTGAACTTCCACCAAGCTAAAACATCAAACTCAACTCCAGCCATGGTTCTCGGATTCACAACACCCTCCTTTAGATAAGTATCCAACTCATCCTTAGATTCTCGATCTTCTATTTCCCCAACCAACTCCTCGTACATGAAATCCATCCTTTCATACCCCATCTCGTCGTTGATCAAGTTGATTCTTTCACAAGTGGCTTCTTGGCTACCAAAGGATGGAGCCGGAGTGGTTTGAGATGCTTGAACTTCTTCACCTCTGTCAAACCGAGCACTATACTCCTTAAACATGAAGCGCAAAACATCAACCAATGACTGATTCATCTCCTTAGCATCTGAACTATCTTTCCCATAAAGCTTCTCAAAACACATTTTTGCAAACTGCATCTTCTTGCTAGGATCAAAAACCGTTGCTACAATCAACATCTTGTTGATGTTCTTCATACCAGCCCAATACTTATCAAACTTCAGAAGCATATCATCAGCCTTTGACTTCAATTGCGAGTCCATGGAATTACTCAACCCCATCAGATTCTTCTGAATTGTAACAATCTCCCCATAACATTTGTAGGAGTTCAGAGAGGTGCTTGCGGACACTACCAATGTGGAATTGTAGAAGATTATCAGAAACCTTACTAACCTCTCAATCGCATGCCAGTCAACCATTGCAGGAGGTCCAACTCGTGGTGCTCCACCGTCAAACTCCATGAAATAGTCGTTGTAAAGCCTATCCTCTGCCTCCATCTTGTCAAAGGCTAACCTGAACTCAAGTGCTCTCGACAACATCAAGTAAGTAGAATTCCATCTAGTTTTAACATCAAGTGGCAAGCTACCCCTACTCATCCTTCCCGAATCAACCCGAAGCTCAAATGACCTTAATCTAGCTGTACTAGACCTAACATATCCAACTGCATTACGAATTGCAAGGACATTGTCATCCACTTCAGCCAAACCATCTTTGACGATCAAGTTTATGATATGTGCTGCACATCTCATATGCACAAACTCCCCATTCAAAACAAACGCTTCATTAGAAAGTAAAGAGAAGCTACTCTGGAACTTCCTAAGCGCAGAGGTATTTGCAGTTGCATTATCAACAGTGATGCAGAATATCTTTTCTATCCCCCACTCAGCCAAACAATCTAGAAGCACAGTTGAAATTGTCTGACCTTTGTGATCTGTGATGTACTTGAAACCGATGATCAACTTCTTTAGCTGCCAGGAAGCATCCACAAAGTGAAGGGTGATTACCATATAACTCGCACCTACAATTCCAAAAACGAGTTAGTAAAGCAGAAGAATCTTACATGTTGATAAAAGAACAAATCACCTAAAACCAGTAACACTACCTGTTGTTTGAGCAGTCCATATGTCAGTTGTAAGAGAGACTCGTTGCTTATTAGCCTTGAACCAAGCTTTCAAAGCCGCTTTCCTTCTGACATACAGTTCAACAATGTCCCTTGTTGAGGTCCTCCTTGAGTGTGGCTTGAAACCGATGATTTTGCTGCAGAAGTGCTTCCAAGCCATACTTTCAACAAATGAAAGTGGCAGTTCCCCTATCGCGAGCATCTCGTTTGTTGCCTCTCTGACTTGAGCTTCAGAAACTCTTGTATCCCTCACTGCTCCATCGTCAGTAATCTCAGTCTGATTCTTCTTTCGTCCTGCTTCCCATGCGAGGTACCTTTTGCACGTTGTCAGATGCTTTCCCAGGTTCGAAGTACCAGACTTTGATGCACAAGCAAAAGTCTTTTTGCAGTGGTGACAGAAGCATCTGTCTCGATTTTCTTGAGTCCGAGTGTAATGCTCCCAGACGTGAGACCTTGGGCTCAAAACCTTAGGTTCCTTCGTTGACTGAGAAGCAGCTCCATTTGAACTTACAAAAGTCTTCCTCTTTCCTCTGTTGTCAGGAGTGATAAGCTCTTCTTGTGTTTCTTCATGATCAGAGACTTTGTCTTTTCCATTGTTCTTTGGATTAACCGATGCTGAAGAATCCATCTGTGAGAAAAATACAATCAATTTGGTTTAGTAATCTACTAAACTTCTTAACGACAATCATATGCAAAACAAATAAGAACAATCAATTGGAAAATATAAATAATCGAATCTTTGAAATCGATTAGGGTTTACTTTACCTTTGAGAAGGTTTTTGATTGATGAGAGTGTGAACTCAAGCAATCTTCAGTGTCCATATTTATAAGGAATCAAGATCGATCTTCAAGAGAAGCATGCAGGGGAGAGACTCTTCGATCTTCGGAGAAACGGCTACAAACAGTAAAGTTGAGAGTAGAGTCTCTTCATTCTTCGTCGGCTGAACTCGACACCCAAAGTTGAGTATTGAAGATGACTACTATTCACGAGGTATATGTCGGATACTCAATTGGATACCGGTTTAAATCCGAACCGATCCATTACCCGTGAGTACCAAAGAATTAGCTCTACTCGGTTTTTTTGCCATAACCGAAACCGGACCGAACCGATTTTTTCGGGTCGGAACCGGTTCGGTTCTGCGGGTCCGGTTTTTATGCCCAGGCCTAGTGTAGTCAGTAGATCGAAGACATAGATCGGTTTTCTGTGACTACAAAAAGAAACCACAGAGCGGATGGATGTACATAAAGAATCTAGAGATTCCGTTAAATTTTTAATCTTGATTTGCTACAGAGTGAATAAAGTATTGTAAGTGAACCAAAAAAAGAAGTAAATAAAGTATTGTACTTGATACCAACGCAACAGTTTTGACTGTACGCTGCAGAGATCATGGACAAACACTGTCGGATGACGTGGCAGGCGTCTATTGGCTGGAAAGGCCTCAGTCGAGTCTCACTCTCACATGAATGAGTTCAATGCTTGCGAAAGTGCGTGAGCTACGTGTTCGAAACACAAGGTAAAACGCCGTAAAAAGATGGCATAACCGAAAAGTGTGGTGTGGTTACCATTTATTTTCATTTCTCATTTATATCTCGCTCACATCCTTCTCTCTGTCTTTTTAATAGACAAGACAAGACTGTTATATTTTGATTGGTTTGAAGTTTGTAGACAAAAATGTCATATCAGTAATCTGTCGACTGTTAAATGATGGCATGTATTGACTGATATAAGAGCATCCACATCAATGAACCCCCTCTTGGGGTTCATTGAATCATTTTTTTATTATTAAAAATTTTCTGTTTTTTATTTTATTTTTGTTTTTAAAAAAAAAAACAAAAAAAAAATCTAGACCAATCCCGAGCCGCCACGTGTTGAATCTCAGGAGAGAGGGGTTCACCGGGGTGAACTTTAGGAGAGAGGGGTTCATAGGTTTTTGTTATTTTAGTATTATTTTTTCTTTATTTCCGTGTGAATTCCCCCCATGAACCTTCAATAGGGATGCTCTAAGGTTCATGGGGGAGTTCACACAGAAATCAAGAAAAAAAATAATAATAACAAAAACCTATGAACCACTCTCTTCTAAAGTTCACCCCGGTTAACCCCTCTCTCCTGAGGTTCAACACGTGGCGGCTCGGGATTAGTCTAAAATATATTTTTTTGCTTTTTAAAAAAAAAAATCAAAAAGAAAATAAAAAAATTTTAATAATAAAAAAAATGATTCAATGAATCCGTGGATGCTCTAAGAGAACTTGCATGATATGATATAATTCTTAGCCAAGCCAAGAAACAAAAACATATATTTTTTTACGGTCAGTTGGTTGAATACGCCGTCAGCTCAATGTAAAAATGATAGTATCACGATCTAAATATGTCTAACAGTGTTATATGGAGGTTACACTTTTTATACTTGAACGTAACTAATTAAATGTGTTACGAGAGTACGAGAATAGTTTTACCTTGTTTAAAACATGTATTCAACTAGCATGGTCTCTCGTTAAACTTTTTTACTAGTAACTATATTTGTTAAGTGTCGTGACTCGTGTATCTCTCAAGTCACTAACTAATTGCATCAGTTAACACGCAAGTATCACATGGCTCATTTCAGATAGTCCTCTTGGAGACACTTTTAACAATAATTGTTGACATTTTGCCTCCCGTCTCTCATAAGGGGCAGACGGGGCAGGTACACACATTAAATTTTAGCTTTACTAACAATATAAACTACATGGTGCACTTTTATCCATACGACCATAAACTATGATCTATTACATACATGTCCGATATTAAAAATCGATGATGATTATGCAAAAGAAGGAACTATAAGACGAGAGAAGAGTAAATATGCATATAGCATGTAGTATTTTTGGTAGTTTTTTGTAATTTTGTTCATATAAAGTATGTTTTGTTATTGGAAATTTTGAACTAGAGGCTTCCCATGGTTACTATGACTACTACAGTGTTTTTTCTTGTTTGTAAATTTTTTAAGATGAAAAGAAATTCATTGCTAAAATTATTCAAACGACATATCAAAGATAACCACTCAGTGTAAGGGATATATATAATACTAAGCAGGTTATTTTTTAGCATTACATTTGTGTATCTTTCATGCCGGCCCGACCAAAAAAAAGAAGTAGATCAACCACGAAGAGGAGAAATTATGGGGCTTCAGTTTTGCTTGCCTACTTTCTCCACGATTTTTGGCCAACTAAACCTCCACGTGTCCATTTCTCATTTCTTCCGAATTAAAGATTCAATCAACGGGAGATTTATTTTTGTATTGAAAATTAATTTATTCTAATGAAATCAGATACAAATGGTTTTGGAGCATGTTTAGGAATTTCAATTAATGAGATAAATCTAATTTCACAAGTACAAAGAGGGCCTCAGCAAAGAAAACATTTTAAAACAATAAACAATAAAAAAAATGTTTAAAAAAAAAAATAAAAATAAACGGAAATTACTAATTTAAATACTCAACCATTTCCCTTTATAGTCTCCTTAGAAAGAAATCCATTTCATCATTTTCTTCTCTTTATTGTTTTCCCTCTACTTCCTCATCTTCTTGTTTATGCATATCCAAGACTCTCCGGTAATGAAAGAGATCTCACGGCAGAGTAAGAAGACTTCCGCTGAGGATAAAACCACAGATGAGTCATCAGCATCATCAGTAGTCGCTAAAACTAAAAGAAAACGCCGATCACAGCCGCGAGACGCTCCTCCACAACGCAGCTCCATGTATAGAGGAGTCACCAGGTTTGTGGGATAACAAAACACACTCAAAAACGCACCGTTTCAAAACGTTTTTCTTCCTTAATTGTTTAGGTTAAAATTTGTATTAGGCATAGATGGACCGGAAGGTATGAAGCGCACTTGTGGGACAAGAACTGTTGGAACGAGACACAGAGCAAGAAAGGAAGACAAGGTCAGCCTATACGTACACCATACATACACATATACTCGCATGTATTTGATGAAATAAAGTTACGTCGTTTTGATATGTTTACTCCGATTTATCCGGAGGAATTAGCTCGTCGTTACTGTTCTTGATTTGAATGATTAATTTTAATTTCTATTTATAACTTGTTTTTTTTATTTTTTTTTTATCTTGGTTATTAATATGTTTTTTTGTTCTGACGATGCTGACCGGAATATTGGCTGACTCATCACGTGCAGTATATTTAGGTGAGTTTGTTTTGGTCATTTTTCATATGGCGTTTTCTTTTTGCACTCCCGGATTGGTAGCCAACACTTTCTAACGATATAATAACAAGTCAATATCTATTTTTAAAATATGTAATTTATAGTTTTTAAGAAAGTGGATATGTTGGCAAATCAAAAAGAAAATGTTTTTTTTTTTGCTCTGCCAAAAAGAAAAAGTTTAAATTACATCTACTGAGAGTGACACAACGAACAAATAATGATTCTAATTTTCTATAACTGCAACTATCTTTTATTTTGTTCATATTATCAATTTACAAGTTTAAGTATAACACATGAAATGAAAGAAAAATTTAAACACCAATTAATGTTTTTTTATGTATTCATGTATGGTGTTGCACAGGTGCGTATGACGAGGAAGATGCAGCAGCACGTGCCTACGACTTAGCAGCATTGAAATATTGGGGACGAGACACAGTCTTGAACTTCCCTGTAAAATTTCTCGGAACCTAAATTAATTAAAACAGAGTTATTGTTCACATGATCTTTGTTTACTTCATAATTTCTCTCGTCTACTTGTCTTTCACAAATAGAAATAGAAAGAAAGAAGAAGAGCATGTTCACAATTATAATTTCATTTTGAATGTTTTATAATTATTGATTCTTTATGTGTTTATAGCTATGTAATTATGAAGAAGACATCAAAGACATGGAAAGCCAGTCGAAAGAAGAGTACATTGGATCTTTGAGAAGGTGATAATTAAATAGCTTATTGTATTTTATGACTGGTGATTAGCTAATCATCTTTGTCTGTTAACAAACTAAGAGTTGATTAATACTAATATTTTTTCATTATTTTTTTAACAGGAAAAGTAGTGGGTTTTCACGTGGTGTGTCAAAATACAGAGGCGTTGCAAAGTAAATCGAGATTCTTAAAACCCTTACTTTTTTTTTTTTGATCAAACCCTTACTATATATTTGCTTATGGTAGTAAGGACAAATGACAATCTCAATATACTAAATATATACTACAATTAAAAATGATGATAACCAGTGGCGGAGCCAGCCCAATCTTTGAGGAGGGTCAAATTCATAGCTAATATATATTACATGGGTCAATACACCAAAAGAAATCAACAAATTTCAAGTTTTTACTAAAAATACATGTAAAATTTTTCAATTATAAAATTTCACCTGGGTCATTTGACCACCCTCCTAACCACCTAGCTCCGCCACTGATGATAACTAATTAGTATTATGGACTTGCAGGCATCACCATAATGGGAGATGGGAAGCTCGAATTGGAAGAGTGTTTGGCAATAAGTATTTATACCTCGGAACTTATGGTAATCTTTGTAAACCCTCTTTTAGTTCATGCTTCATGCAATATAGAGATTAATAAAAAAAAACATGTTATTCACTTTTCATAAATAGTATGTGATTCTCATTTGACACAGTTTATGAATACTATATGCACACATGTTTTAGTTAGATACTATGAGTTCATTCATTTTCAATGGTGATTAGCTTTTATAGTAAGACTAGTTGTTATGATATATGCATCTTGATCGTAGTAAGTTATAAATTTGACGGTTATATATATATGTGTGTGTGTGTGTGCGCGCGCAAAACAAAAGAACTACACTCATACTATGTATGTTTTTATCTTCATAGTAGCTTAACTTTTTTACTTATAAATCTTTTAAGAGGAAGTTGCTATATCGATATGCATGCACGTAATCAGATCTTGAGTTGGTTGGGGAATAGATCACCAAACCCAACCACTTAGTCAAGCCTTTAATTTATTGTTATAGTTTTTTTTTTCTTATGTTGTCATTATGGGTCATTGTATATTTTATTGTATGGTTTAAACTCTAAGTTGCTCATCCAATTTAACCGGCCTATTTAATTCCACTATTTATGATTATGTTTCCCATATTGTCCTATCTCAAGGGGAAAAAGTACGTAGTAAGTTTTGAAAGAAAAATTAAGAGAAAAGTACATTTCTATTGACTTGTAGTTGTAGGCTTGTTTTGTAGCATAGCGTTACGTATTAGATAAATACATTATAGTTCAATATATAGTTTCTTTTATACAATGTTTTTTTAACAATTTTTTTTTTTTTGGTGCAACCACAACTTTTTTTTAAAACAATTACTAAACAAAAGGAAATCTAACTTCCCTAAATTCTATGTAAGTCCTTAATCTTTTGATTGTGACTATTTACACCCTGTCTTTTTTTTGGTGTTATGTTAGCTACACAAGAAGAAGCGGCCATTGCGTATGACGTGGCAGCAATAGAGTACCGTGGACTTAACGCCGTCACTAACTTCGACATAAGCCGTTATCTCAAATTACCGGCGACGGAGAACCCAATCGACGCCGCGAATACTCTCCCGCTCCCTGATCCCATCCCCTTCATAAACCCTGACCACGAGTCGGCACTGTCGCTGAGCCAATCCTCCTCCGACGACAACGATGACCGGAAAACAAAGTTCCTAAAGTCGTCGCCTTTCTCGAACGCAGAGGAGGTGATCGGTCCATCGACGCCGCCGGAGATCGCTCCGTCTTTCCGGAGCTTCCCGGACGATATTCAGACGTATTTCGGGTGTCAAGACTCCGGGAAGGTTGATGATGACGTCATCTTCGGTGGTTTAGATTCGTTCCTGACGCCTGATTTCTACAGCGAGTTTAATGATTGCTAAAAAAAATTGGATTTTGATAAGTTTTGTTTTTTGGTAATTCTTTTTTTTTTTGTGACAATCTTATATAATAAAGTTTGAATCTTTTTTTATCACTTTCAAGTTATGGAGAATAGAGACATTGATTTATGGAGAATAGTAAGGAATAGAGATGATATGATATTTGGAGGGATGTTCAGAGTTTGAACTCTCCCAACTTATATAATGTTCAAACAGTACAACAAAGTTTGGAATCAATGGAAGCTAAGCAGATACAGAATGCTTGGTAGCCTGAGAATGGATACCTGCAAACATATAAAGCATTTAGGCAGATGAAACTAAAGGATTATTTATCTTAAGCTTTTTAAATATGTTTTTGTGATGAATAGCAATTACCTGAAGTCAATTACATACTTTGCTTTGTCTACTCTTCCCATCTGAAGAATTGTTTGTCTGGAATTCTCCTGTTTATATAACACAGAATGTTCAGGATTTTTGGAGATTGTGTGTTTTTTGATTAAAGCTTAGAAAGAGTTGTGGAAATGTACAGTGAGTGTGAGCTGAAAGTTCTTCACCGAGCTTTGTATTTTTAGATTTGTTCTTCCTCTGTCTCTGAAGTCCAACTCATGCTGCTTGGAGATCTAGTGAAAAGGAGATAGATTGAATCAATACAAGCTTCAGAAAATCAATGATGATAGATGAATCCCACTGAGACTTACTTTGTTGTAATGTGGTATCCTTGAGCATAGCTTTTGAACTTGATCCTTATTCTCAAGCCAATCTAGTGGTAGTTTACTAACTTGTTGGACCTATGAAGAGATACCGATTAATGTTCTTTATATATTTGAAATGCAAGATTGATGAAGAGAGGGTTTAAGATTAGGCTTTTTACCTGCTTATTGTTGTTCTTCTGCACTATCTGCTGCTTTGGTAGTAAAGCTCTCATTCTTCTGTAACTCCCTGTCCAAGTTGTTATAGTAGGTGTGAAGCTGCAGAAGCCAACACAGACATAATAAGCAAAACCAAAACTAATCAAAAGACACAAAAGACACAGAAGCATTCTTACATAACAACTGAAAGAAGCGGCTTCACCATTTTACCTACAGCTCCAACTCGAACTCCCTGCAATGGAATCAAAAACAGCAGAAACATTCAGATAGAGTTCCCTACCTCTAAGCAAAGCCAACACCAATACATTCAACTCAAGTTTCTAACCTTATCCCATATGTAGTACTTAGAACCCATGAGATTAGCCGTCATGGAACCAACATAACTTTCATCTGAACTGCACAATAACCCCTTAACATTCTGTGCAACCCTAAACACAGACTTCCCGTTACGCCGCCTGTGGTAAGCCACTGCTAGCTTCCTGTCTTTTCTTCCACGACCTTCCTGAAACACATCATCGTCCAACACAACACTAGTAAGCTATCAGAAACTTTAATCTTAACTCTCAAACAGTATCATACTAGATCACATATCTGTATACTTACATGTGTATAAAGTGAATATACAGAACCGTCACGTAAGCCTTCTGGTGATTGTTCTTTTACAATCAGACAAGTGCATCTACCCACATCCAAAGGTAACGTCTTACACAGCAACGACCTGTTTAATACATAGAGTTTCAGACATGTTCAGGATAATAAAAAGTAACTGGATGTTATTTTTGTCTTACCTATTGGGCAAAGTAGACCAAGAGGAAGCAGGGGCAGCTTCGGAATCCGAAAACTCCCAGACTTTCAACGAACTAGAATGCTCAGAATCAACACTAGTCCAAGTTTTCATACCTTGATCGACTTCACTGTTCAGCTGCATACACACTTGCAGCGATGTCTGCTTCAGAGCTGTTCGACCACCCGTTGAGAAAGATTTGAAGTTTGTAACCTCACTCGGAAACTCAGAACCTCCCTTCATCGATCGAGACTTCAAAGCTCGATCTTGCTTCTTAGTTTCCACAGACTCAGAGCTGTTTTCCGGCGAGACATTCTCCTTATCTTCTCCTTTCTTAACGGAAACAGAGCCTGAGATTATGTCAACGTTTTCTTTATTTTCCTCTGGCAAATCATTTTCTTTTCTCGAACCAGCCATGGTTTCCTCTTCTGGGTTGCTTTCAAGTTTAAAACTTTATGAAGGGACTGAGAGTTTATTTATATCTTTATCGATTTTTTTTGAAGATGTAGATAGGTGTTGACAAAAGGTGGTGCGTTAGGTTTGACCTGAGAGAGAATTTGGCGATAGAGAGACGTTTTAAAAAAGTTCCACAGTGTTTCCATTTGAATTTGAATATGCTATTGGGGATTGTGCGAGCACGAAACCAAAGACAAAGTTGGTCTTTTCTTTTCTTGTCTTAACAAGAAGAAGAAGAGGTTTTGTGTTTATTTTGACCTTTTTCTCTGTTTTCTATGGACCCAAAACTGTCACTAAATAATAGTAGTGGGATTTTTTCTTTGTCGTTTTCCTTTGTCGGGAAACTGAAATTTTATGATTGGATTGAGAGAAATTGATTTTCAGCGGGAACCGTGTTTGAAAACTGAATAAAAAATAAAATTACTATACCGTTTGGTTTGGTTCAACTTCGGTTTTGTCGAATCAAAAGTTAGTAAACCGAAAGTTACATCTCGTTGCATACTAGGACATGCAACGAAACGGTCCAAACCAATCGTTGTGATCAGTTCCACGACAGCGACTTTTGAATAATTGCATGTTGTAGCGAAATCGAATAGGTTAATATGCATCTGAATTGGTTAAACCGGATTGAGCATCTCTGAGTTTTTTTAACATACTCAAACTACTGAACTATTTGCCGTTTTAGTTTTATCAAACCGCATGTCATTTTTTTATGGGCTTCGTGAATCATCCAAAGCCGATAAGCTTAGTGGTCAAGTAAACCATCACTGTTTACGAACTAGTCCAAAACCATGAGAGAGGCCACAGCTTCGTCCGAAGCCCATTATCATCCTTCAATGGCTAAAACCAGCAGCACTCTGTTTGCCATCTCCTCTGTTTCGACTCATTTCTCTCTTCTCCTTCGTTCCAAATCTCTTTAACTCTCATCTCCAAGCGCGAGTCTCGCCGTGCCAATGGCTATGGCCATCACTGTGCCCCCTGCTGTGATCGTGGGTGGGGGAAGAGTCGGAAGAGCGTTGCAGGAAATGGGCAGCGGCGATGACTTGTTGGTGAAGAGAGGAGAAGCAGTCCCGGTTGGTTTCGAAGGACCCATTTTGGTTTGTACTAGAAATGATGATCTCGATGCTGTTCTTGAATCTACTCCTCAGTCTAGATGGAAAGGCTAGAAACTCTCTCTCTATATACTCTAGGATTCTCGAAGTAGGATTATGTTTCTTAAGTTCATGACTTAGTTATATTAAAACTGTTATGTGTAAAATATAATCAGATTTGGTGTTTTTCCAAAATGGAATGATGGAGCCATGGTTTGAGAGCAAAGGTTTGGGTGATACAGACCAAGTGTTGGCTTATTTTGCTGTTTCAAAGCTCGGTGAGCCTCCTGTGGATGGGATAAGTGGATAACCGATACTAACCCAGAAGGGTTAACTGCTGCTTATGGTAAATGGGCTTCAGATGTTGCTGCAAGACTACAATCTGGTGGTCTCTCTTGTAAGGTTACAAGAAACAAACCTTTTTTTAATTCTATAATTAAAAAAACCGAAGAAACTAAGGTGTGTCTTTTTTTTTCTTTGTGTTTCCTGTGGTTAGGTACTTGACAAAGAAGCTTTTCAGAAGCAAATGTTGGAGAAACTCATTTGGATTTGTGCGTTTATGCTTGTTGGAGCTCGTCATCCAGGTGCAAGTGTTGGCATTGTGGAGAAAGAATACAGAGATGAAGTATACTAACTAAAACTTACATTTAGCATTCAAAATCGTTGTTTACTTCAAACTTGTAATTAATTTATAAGTTCAGGTGTCAAGACTCATCCAAGAACTTGCAGCAGCTGCTGCTGCAGAAAAAGGACTAACGTTTGAAGCCAACATGGTGGAGAGACTGTGTGCTTATTCCCGAGCTGTTGCTCATTTCCCAACCGCTGTCAAAGAAGTATACATATACTGATCTCTCTTCTTAAGTGGTTAAGGACCCAGTATCTTGTTTCTCAGCTAGTTTTCTAATTTTTCTACAGTTTAAATGGAGGAATGGTTGGTTTGCTATCAGAGAAGGCAATTGCACAAGGGAAACTTGATCCATGTCAACTCCACACCCAATGGCTGAGAGAGCTAAAAGTGATATAGATTCCTTATCCCTTTGGAATCGGTAAAGATTGCTATCTAAACAACGACAAGTGGTATGAAGTTACATGTACGTAACAACAGCTCTTCCGGGAACCCTGTTCCGTTTCTTTCTAGTATCAACAAACAAGTGGTGAAGATCTTTTGGAAAAGGAGAACTTTGCGTGTTAAATGGTACAGTGAGTAGAGGTTACGCTACAAGTAACAAAATAAGTTGCATTTGTAGCTTTGGTAACTATTTAGAGCGACGCTATAGAGAACCTGTAGATGTAACTCTGGTTTCAGCGGCAACCCTTATATAAGTGGATGTATAGGTAAATAGATTTTATTGGGGTTTAGGGTTGGTTTCTGCAAGATTTTTGAATCTCATCTATGCTTTTCTTTTAACTATAGAACAAGATGAGTGCGAGTTAGCCAAAGCTCAAGGGTTAAAACTTTGTGGGGACGGATATGACTGTGTGGATATAGTAGGATTCTTTGAATGCTGGCAAAGGAAAAGCAAAACACTGGCCATCATTGATGCTAGAATCAAAGATAGTTGCAACGTGGAACAAGTCACTGCAGCTGCAAACCTAGGGAGGAGGTGTTTGAACTTGAACGGGAAGAAACGACCAAATATGAGGGAAGTCACTATGGAGCTGGAAAGGATACGAGATTCACAGGTACATATTCAAAATGAGGAAGATGAAAAGACCATAGAGATCAACGTTGGAGATTGCTCTTTTCACTGATTCTTCCTCCAATATTACCACCACCACATCTTCGTCTCATTGAAAACTGGAGACCAAATATTAGCTTGGTAATTGCTGGCTCATACGTTTGAGAGTATGCGATTAGTAGATGATCTGAAACTAGTTTGAGCTTTGTACACGTATGTAAAGCCAAATAGTAAAATGTTTGAGACTCTGTAAAAAAAAAGTCCAGACTTGTATTAGTTAAAAAGTCTGCGTCATTAACAGACAACAATAAAACATCTGGTTCTTGTCCCATCAATGAATGAAAAGGACTGATTCGTTTCCATCATTTTGAAAATTGTATGACTGACTCGTTAGTCCCTCCACCTTTGACAACAACCATTTAAAAGAAGTTTGTGTTTGAAATTTCAGAAAGAAAAAAAAGTATCTCTTGACTAAACTATGACAAAAACTTAATTAATACTTCTGACCTACAAAAAAAGTTTCGCCCACCGTGGGGCTCGAACCCACGACCACAAGGTTAAGAGCCTTGCGCTCTACCAACTGAGCTAGACGGGCTTTGGTATTCAACAGTTGAGTTGCTAAATAATGGAAGGATGTTATTAATATTAATAGCTACGAATACTGTACTTTTTTTTTTTTGTCAATTAGCTACGAATACTTTCAAAACAATATCTGCTAAATAATGGACAGATGTTTATTTAGGAACATAGAAGATGCAAACAGAGTTGAAATTTTTCTACTTTTAGTAATCTTGGTGAAAACTACTTCACGCGTCTATTTTTTTTTTTCAACCAAACGCGTTACTTAGTCAAAATTCAGGTTAACATAGATAGGCTGAGATTAAAAAAAAAAATAATAGAAGCAGAAGTATGAAGACAGAGAGCTTACTATGTACTGTGATTTTTATCTTAGCTCTGCAGCTCATCATCAATACCTCACATGCAGCAACAACACCCCCACCACAAGAAGACAATCCTTCAGCTTCTTGTGTTACAACCTGTGGTGGAGTCTCCTTCCCCTTCCCGTTCGGAATCGGCCGAAAGGAATGCTATCTCAACACCTGGTACGAGGTTGTCTGCAAAACTTCCGGGCCATCTGGCACAACTGTTCCATTCCTCTCTAGGATCAACAAGGAGGTGGTGAACATCTCTCTTCCAGGTTATCCATATCTATACGGAGTTGTCCACATTAAAGGTCCAGTGACTTCCGTGGGTTGTACTAGTCAAGTATCCGAAAACTCGTCGCAGGTTTTGAACGTCACGGGCCAAGGCAGTCCATATTTCATCACAGACAAGAACCGGCTCGTAGCGGTTGGTCGCGGTACCAAGACGTCTCTGACAGAAACAGAGTCAGAGATCTTAGGTTGTGAATCGAGTTACGAATTAGACAATAAACGTAATCAACAAGAAACAAACTCGATCTGTAATGGTTACAAATGTTGCCAGGCGAGAATACCGTTGGATTTTCCTCAGGTTCTTGGAGTCAACATAGAGAACTCTCATGGTAGAGGTTGCAGAGTTGCGTTTTTGAGTAACACTATGTATTCGTCAGTGAATGTTAAGGAGCCAGAACAGTTTCATTCTGATGGATATGCGGTTGTACAGCTAGGATGGTACTTTGAATATAATGTTCAGATTCTCGTTCTAGTAACTTCTTGGGTTGTTTAAACGATACCGATACCAGCTGCTTTTGCGAAAATGGTTACGTCTCTGGGATGAGTTATAGAAACTGCTATTGCGCTAGTGGTTACATAGGGAACCCATACACTCAATCTGGCTGCACAGGTAACATGAACTGTTTTACTTCTTGTTTTGTTTCCTTGAACATTCATTAAATGACATCATCAATAATCATCATTCAAAAATATAAATTTCTAGACGATGATTCATGCAAAGAAGATCCTCACTTCTGCGGTGAAGGAAGTTTTTGTGAAAACGCGCCTGGAATCAGTTACATTTGCAAGCTCAATCCCAAACCCAAGTCAGACAAACTATTGTGTGCTTCTAGGTGAGTGCTCACCTTTTTAACTACCAGACTACAAGTCTGAATAGAGAATATTATACTTTATGTTCAAAACTGGATTAAGATTTATTTTTTCTTTTGTTTTGGTTGTGACTCTTTTATTTTGTTTATTTTTTATTTTTATTTTTTTTATGTCTGATGGCAAGTTAGATTAGGGTTTGTTTGTAAATTGGTGTGTATCCCGTTTGAGTCTAATATTTATTTTTTTATAAGAGTTATTCTAGTAGTTTTAGGATAAATTTGA